CGCCGCGGTATCGTCATCGACGACCACTGCCGCATGGTCGGTCCCAAGGACGGCAGCATCTTCGCTCTCGGCGACTGCACGAGCTCCGGCTATGCCCCCACTGCACAGGTCGCGAGCCAACAGGGCGCATACCTTGCGCGCGTCTTCGCCCAGCTGCACAAGCGCGACCAGATTGCTGCCCAGCTCGCTGAGGGGGAACTCGACGAGCGTGCGGTGAAGCAGGCCAAGGCGAAGCTCGAGAAGGCTGAGCAGCTCCGCCCCTTCCACTACTCGCACCAGGGCTCGTTGGCGTACATCGGCCACGATCGTGCAATCGCGGATGTCAGCATTTGGAACTCGATGGTCTCGTCCGGTGGTACAGCAACGTTCTTGTTCTGGCGCAGTGCGTATATCAGCACGCTGTTCTCGCTCCGTAACCGCTTCCTCGTCGCCAACGACTGGCTCAAGTGCAAGCTCTTCGGCCGGTGCGTATCTGCATTGGTCTTGCATGGTCCCAACATACTGACGTCTCATACAGTGACCTTGTCCGCGAGTGAGCGTCGTGAAGCTAGCGCTGGTGTTGTGTGGCATATACGGACACATTGATGCTTTTTTGGTTCCCTTCAATTCCTCACGAAGTTCCTGTGGTTTCGGTATAGACAGACTGCCATAGACTTGACCCTCTTCCTTCCTTTGAAACGTAGCTTACAGCAACCCCCGTAACGAGCGCTATACCTACTTGTTCTATTTTACCATAACCCTTATGTCCTTGCTATCTATCCCACGAAGCGCGGTACCCGCGTACGCGTTTGCGCGCACTAGATCGAGTTTGCCTTTGGTATCGGATCTTAGATCTCACTATACTCGTGTGTGTCGAGCCTCTAGGTTGAGCTTGTGCGAGTGAGGCACACGCACAGACGCGCTCTGCCTTGCTCTGCTCGCCCGTATTGCCGAGCTTCAGCGCGTCATATCAGGTGACCGTGTTTGGACGCGCTCAGCGCCCGCCGCCGACGCGTCTCGCACCCGACCACGACCACCTTGCGCGGTCCTGACCAACCCGGTAAAGCGGGATGACCAACACAGGCGCCCTATCACAAAGCCTTGCCTCTGGTACTCTACACTCATGTTGAATTCGCCCGCATCTTTCTCACGGCGGTCAGGTTCTTCGAAGAAGCGACGCGCGCCTACGGATTCGGAGACCGGCGTTCAAGACGATCAAGACGCTCCGCCGAAGAAAGCTACCAAACGTGAGTACTATCTCCCTTGAATGCTATACTCAGACTGGGTGATGTATGCTGTATATGTCATACTCCGACAATGTCCATTTTAAGACATCAATAATCTCCCGACGTTCCGTTCGATTTCCTATTCGGAGTTCACGCTTGCTTAGCGGAGATTGATGCGGTGCTAACCCATTCTCACCACAGTCGCCCCGATATTTGCTACTCCTGCCGATAAGAGCGCCAAGTCCGAGATGCTTCCCGGGGTGTTTAGATGGCTGAAGCCGCTTGGCGCGAAACGGACGTGTCTTTTCGGACTTCATCTCGACCCGTTAGCGGCAGTCACTGCCTCGACACCCGTGCGCGTCGCGGCTTTCGACTTGGATGGAACTCTCATAGTGTCACCCTTCGATAAGTCGAAGGGGAAAGCAAAGGGGAAGGGGGGTGGCGGGGCGTTGAGTGGGTCTGGAGGGTTTCAGTGGTGGAATGCCGTGGTACCCAAGAAGTTAGAAGAGGTCAAGGAGCAAGGGTATGCATTTTACTCTCGTTCCCGCATGCTCGGTACTGAACGAGGTGCGCAGATATGTGATTGCGTTGATATCGAACCAGAAAGTCACTGGCAAGACTATGGACAAGTTCAAGGAACGCCTACCGCTCATCGCAAGAAAGGTATTGTCACTCATGCTGCTGCTCGTCGTGTTGAGTCCAACTGCTGAGGCTTCGTTCAAGATACCCAAGATACCCTTCTTTGCGTACGCAGCCACAACAGCAGATGAGTTCCGGAAGCCCATGCCTGGCATGTGGCTCGCGCTCGAGCAGTTACTCTCCAAACGCGGTCTCTCGATAGGTACGACTCTGGCTGTCTTCATTGCAATCACCATACTCAGTACTTTTCCAGACAAGGAGAACTCGTTCTTTGTTGGTGACGCCGCGGGTCGCGCCGAAGACTTCGCCAGCACTGACCGCAAACTCGCCGTCAACATCGGTCTACCGTTCTATACTCCCGAGGTACCTCCTACCTATAACATCTCATATTGTCTATTGAGGATGCTTCCCAATATAGCGCTACTTTCTGGACGCTGGACCGACAGAAGCCGAGCTTCCGCCTCTAACGGGTTTCCGTCCACCCACAGCATCTGAGCAGCCGGCATCAGAGGCCGAGCGCGTCTCCGAACCTGAACTTCCCATTACAAGGACGGAACAAGAGATTGTCATCTTCGTCGGCCCACCGTGTGTCGGAAAGAGCACGTTCTACAAGACGCGTTTCAAGGAGGCGGGATACGTACTCATCAATCAAGATACCCTCAAGTCGCGCCCCAAATGCTTGAAGGCTACCGAGGAGGCTTTGGAGAAGGGCTCAAGCTGCGTCGTTGGTGAGTCAGTTCGCACTTCCCTGTGTGTCGCTACTGATAGTAAGCACGCAATAGACAACACCAATCGAGATGCTGCAACTCGGAAGAGTTACGTCTCGCTGGCCAAGAAGGCAGGTGTGCCCATCCGGTCAGTCTGAACCTGTTATATCGTTGACTTCGCGCTGACTCCAGGACACAGATGTTTTGTCTTTGACGCGGCAATCGAGCTCGCATGGCATAACAACCTATATCGCGCCTTCATCGAGCCTTCTACCGATTCGCGAAGAAGCGCTACACATGCATCAGATACGGCAGAACTCTCCACTAAGAGTGACCGGGCAGGAGCTTCTCGCGAGCTTGTACCCTACATCGCTTTCACGGGCTTCCAGAGCGCGTATGAGGCTCCCCAGGCCGATGAAGGCTTCGCGGAGATGCGTACCGTGCGATGGATGTTCGAAGGTGACGAAGTGGAACGGAAAGCGTGGGAGATGTGGCTCCAGATTAGTGGAAAGTGAAGGCTCTATGTAATCCTCATTCGTACGGAACTGTGAATCTATTGGGTACATGACATATACTCATCATTCGCATATAACATTCAGTCGGAGACAGAGGCTGATACGACAACGTCATCATCATTCAATCACTCAGATGACACCTTCCTTGACCAGCCCTGCTTCAGCGAGAGCGGCGATGAAGGTGCGCAAGTTGTTACAGCGCAACTCATATATATCTTGATGATGCGATAGGTAATCGCAATCGCCCACCATACTCTCGAAGTAAATGCGCGTGGAAGGATTGATCGCCATGGAGTGGCGAAGGCGCAGCTTGAAGTTGTCGTACGCCGAGGTCTCGGGGTTAATCGCGTCCCAGAACATCTTCAGCACAGTTACATGCTCGGCAAGCTGTGATCTAAAGACTCCCTCCTTCATATGAATGCGCTTCTCAGAGCTTGTGTCGTCGCGCAGAATGTTGGAAATCGTAGAAAATAATTTGACGCCCACGGGTATGAACTCGGGTTCGACGGCGCTGTGATGGAATACTCCCACCGTAAACCATTGTGCGTGGTGTCCGTGCTCATCCTTAAGTATCGTACTGAAGTTGAACATGATATCACAGAAGGTGTTGACGTTGTGCTCTTCAAGGACTGCGATGACCTTCGAGTACTCCCGCGACACGAGCTCGCAATAACTCAACCAGTCTACCAGTCGGTACAATTCTTCGTCTGTTGTGGGAACAGAGAGGCCTTGAAGAGGCTGGGGCGTCATGAGCCGGCAGGGACATCTTTCGCGGGAGTCGTGCTCAGGCTTTGATCGTGATGCGGTATCGTCGGGCTGCTTGAGGATGTGCTTCATCACGTAGGCAGACACCTCGTTCTTGGTTGGCGGGTTCAGTCTTCCACATCTCACAGCCTCTCGAGCAGTCATGATCAAAACGATGTCTTCATGTGAGAGGATCTTGACCTCAGCGAGGTTGAGAGGCTCGGGACGCAGGCACAACTCGACAAAGGCGGGATGAAGCCAGTTATCAACATGATGCAGCCTGCCCAACACCAGCTTTTCGCACGGCGACGCGAGAGGGCCTAAGCCTTCGATGGCGGCGGCGCGTATATCATCAAACTGCCACTCGGTAGCCAGCCGCAGAACCACCGCCCATTGATCTTGAGTCTTCGAGTCGAGCGATGCCTTGCGCCTGGTATCAAGATCAGACATGCCACCAGCGCCTGATTGGAGACTATGTGAGCGTACGGGAAGCGGACCATGATCATGAAGGCGTCCATCTCTTGAGGTGACACATCGTCCATGACGATGGGGGCATCGACGTAGTCCGGCGCGGCGAGACGTTCCTCCCAGTAGGTGGACCGCGCGGTCAAGAAGCCGCTGTATATGCGATAGATGAAGCCTTGGACCTTCACAAGTCACTCATGTCAGTCCAACCCGAGTAGGCCAAAGCGAGTTGCACGTACCACGAATACAACGAACGTGGCCACATCGAAGAAGCCCTCGCGTCTCTGGTTCCCCTCGCGTGCAAGCCGCGCCACACTGCCGACATCGCTCTCAGACTCTTGCTGCGTGAGGATCGCGCCGTCGGAATCGCTATGGCGAGGAAGTATTCCTTTTCCTGCCACCGACGATCCCAACTGATGATCTCCGGATGGGACCATGATCGCGGACGAAGGTTCGGATTCAACATCGGAGGCGCCGTTGAAGGACTCCAGCGACGGAGAAGGAGAACGACTCAGGTTGAGCGGCATCGAGGACGTCGTAGACATAGTGGATGATGACTGTTAAGATACAAAGTTGGTGAGCCACCGAGTGCGTTGAAAGGCTTAAACACCCCGAGAGAAAACGTGGAAGACTCGTTACAGCCACGAGCGTCCCTTTGGGAGTCTCGATATCATTATATGAACATGGATTGCCTCAACTGTCGGTTTATATTGACATAACCTGTACGAAAGGGGGTAGACATACAACATTTGAGGCTTAGTAGGTGCTTGTACATATAGAACGTTTCGACGAGCGCTTTCCTGTCATCGCTCGTCAGTACTCCTGATTTATTGAAATATGGGCAGAGATGAGATGTACCATTCATATCATTAGATGATATCGCAGTTGTCCAGTACACCATCACGCTTGCGCTACACCCTGCCCGCTCCAGATTGGCCTAGTCCCTCCGAAAGCCTCTCGTCTATCTCCAGCAACGTCGGCAATTCCCAGCCTCTGTGCCACGTCCTTCGCTATCGCGCATGCATGCTTTATGTGGCGCGCTCGCGTCCCATATTGCACCTTCGCGTCGAGATAGATCAGGTAGACGCGGGTCTAGGCTTTGTAGGGCGGGATATCGGTCGCTATGTGCGACGCCAACGAGCCGGCTGTAGACGTTGATAGACGCACAAGGCCGCCGAGTAAGCATGATCCTTCTTCCAGGCGCGCTATGGTGTTCCAAAGCTGTCCTCGTTCCACTCACTTTCCGGCACACAGCGACCCACTCCATGACCACCCTCGTGAGGAATTCAGGGGCTCCAACTTCTGGCTTCCCGCCATCGCCAGCATCCCCGGTGCTGTATGAAAGCCATTAGTCTACGTCCCAACTTCGATCAGGATGTGAGGGCAGTGAGACTGGGACGTGTAAGAGATTATGGTCGGATGGCAGGCGGAAGTCAAATTCTTGCGTCGCCGCGTCGCGTTTCTCCTTTCCCCGTGATGGCTCCCAGGGAGAGCTCGCCTCCTACAAGGAGATTCAAACCGTAATACAGTCGCAGGTATACTAGCTCAGAGGCCTGCCAGGGTATATGGAACCTTGTCACAACATCAATGAGGCGTACACGACGTCGACGCGACCGGAGTACGTGTAAAGCTTCATCTAGACAGCCACGCACTCGTGATAGCATCCCACGATGCTATGTCGGCTTCACCTTGTTATCTGAAGGAGCAAATTTCGCTTCTGTTTCTATGTGAACGATAGAAGAGATGTGGTACGTCGCTCCTTGACATCACGAACGGATGTATTCTCTGTGATGACATGCGGAGATGAGGCTCTTCGCTGTACACCGCTTCTGAACCGGTTGGGCAACCTTGTGTTCGGTTACGGCCACCATGCGTGCCAGATGGCGGAGCGGTACGTATCAGCGACTGATGAAGCTTATGACCAGTGGACGTACTTAAAGCCGTCCGCTCATCTTCATCTCGCCTGAGCATCATCTGCGCGGATGGTCGATAGTATGTCGCCTCCCCAAATCCAGGAGTCTTTGCATCAACTCAGTATGTGCCCTGTATACTCATGATGCGCTCGCGGCTTTCTCATGAGCACCCCTACCAGCGGCCTTCGAAACCTCCTTGCTCGTGTTCTGTGGCATCTACTTGTGAGCATACGATATTATTTGCGCCCCATTCAACTCATCGCACGAAATAGTCTGGAGTACATCCTCCATCTGCGCTTCGATTGGTCGTTGTTCAAGGGTCCCGGAGCCCCGCGTCATGGTCTCAGTCGTGTCGACGTCGCGCTTGTTACTCGATGGGTACGTGTCATTGACAAAGCTGTTGTAATCTCTGACGATGACGATTTGTAGACCTATCTGATAGATCGCCTCCTTCTGCTGGCGTTCAGTGTCGCTGGAGTAACACTGATGATATCAGACCAGAGGGACTGTCAGGTACGTGAAGGGTAATAACCGCAACCAGTACGAAGATCCAACTATTCGCAATCAAGGCTTTAGCACAGCTGCTTGGGGTGGGAGAACAGTGGAACTTCGTTACGAACACTGGCTGACGAATGTACGATCTAGTTTGCAGGATTATCTAGTCTTGTTTGCGGCTGGATCTTATTGAGCATACGAGTGTCAGTCGCATGATCCTCTACGTGATCGAAAGTATTGCCTGACATGAGCTAACGTAGTTGTGTCATCTGGAACTGGGACAAACGGGTGGCCGTCTTGCTCATTCTTATGATCCTGGCCAGTATTGCCTTGGCTATTCGATGTGAGTGCGATATTCGGCTCATGGTATGCTTCATACTGAAGGGAACCCGACTGGTAGGTGTCGTGGAAGTGAGTGTGGACATATGGGGATGACCGCGAGTGACTGAGACGTTTTGATAGCTCAGCGCTGCATACAACCATGTATTTCATGCTTGCATCATCGACCGAGTTCCCGGTCTCCTTACTCTGACCGTCTCGCTACTCGCGGGAGAGTCCGTTGTGCTTCTAGGCCTGTTTGTAGGGCTGCAGAGTAAATGGCGTGGTGCCCGTCAGTTTCGCATGTGGAACGTACTTTGGACCCAGGTGAGCCGTGCTCGCCCACCGCATGCTTTCGATTGATCAGAATTTCTGTAGGGACTGCTGCACTTCGCCTTTTGCCTTGCGATGAGGATACCCCTTGTGGTATGTTTTGATCGTCGTTCATCCGTATCCTGGTCTAAAACTCAGGCTCATTCAGGTGCTGCTCGCAAGGACAACCAGTCGTACGCATCACGATACTGAACGACTCTGAAATCAATGCCGCTGATAACAACCAAACAGCTATCGCAGAGCTCGTGAGTCGTCTACGCCGCGGCGCTTAGTCTCTGTCACTGATCGGTCCGGTAGATCGTCTTAACTCCCACGTGTGCGTTCTGATCATCCGTACTGTTTAAACGACACTGACCGCTACTTGTTGCACTGTAGTCGTAATGGGGTGCGTGTTCAGCCGCGCGAGGAGTATACGGTCAGTTGAACCTGCCGTTCTAGTCCCATAGGGGCGATGCACATGTTCCGATATTTGCAAACATCTGTTCGCGGAGATAGATCACCTCAGTTAGTTACCACTTCTCAGCACATGATCCGTTTCCCTCTGATTGCTTGACAGGTTTGGCACCCGAGATCTTCCCATGCGCGCCAATATCCAGCTCGCCAGGCAGGGAGAAGCCGGAAGCAAGCAAGCACTTACCAGGCATGTCGATGCAAACGAAGAGGTCCGTCTTTCAGGTTTTGCAGTGTGCCGCCAATGAGGTAGCAAAGGTCTATCTGCACAAAACACTGTATGTTACAGTTACAGTACCACGGACATGGAGATTGGCGTGAGGAGAGAATCATTGATACATGGAACGTGAGTGATAGTGACGGGTGAAGCAAGGGTCTTTCAAACGCGAGGTATCAAGTCAGCATCGGCCAGCAATCTAAGAAAAGCACGTAGGTGCTTCGAAATCCGTGCGAACGTAAGCTTGATGGGCGGTGCACAGCGTGTGTATGAGCGCTAGCTCGAGGATTACACACAACAGTCACCAACATCCATGATTAACGCAGCTTCACTGCTAACATCTTTTATGGCCCACGGCGCGGTATATTACATGGTTCCTAGCGAAGCAATAGCATGGCTACAGACTCGTCACAAAGAAGAGAAGACGCGAGGAGTAAAGAACCTCGTTGTAGAGTCGGAACATTGATCCGGCTACTTCCCGTCAGCGGATGCAGCCTGGGGCTCAAGGAGCCCAGCCTCTTCAAGTGCGGCGAAGATCGCCCGAAGGCTCGCGCTCCTCTGCTCGTAGTCGCTCTGGAGCACCTTCTCGTGAGGCAATCTGAGGCTCAGAGTGATCAACGTGTGTGTGCCACTGGGCGTTAGATTGGCATGCGCCATCGCGAGGGTGAAGTCCTTGTACTTGGCCATAGCCTCCTCGAGATCCTCCCAGAACTCCAAGGCACGATCGCGCACCGTCTCCATATACCCCAGAGCTGAGACTTGCGTGGCCTCGAACGACCAGAAGGAAGACTCGGAGGGAGGAAGGTCTGCAATGATGGACTTGAGTATCTGAACGCTGAGGGGGACGAATCGAGAGTGAGTGACGCTGTAGGTGATGAGCTTGTCTGCAAAGACTCGGAAGTCGCTTCCGTCTCGGTACACCTTGCTGAAGTCGACAAGCAAGCTCAGAAACGCTTGTACGTTGTGCTCTTCGACAGCGTCAAACGCCGTCGCATACTGATACGTGGAAAGGAGCCCCGCGAATTTCTGCTTCTCCTCGATTGTGGCATTTGGTCCAGAAAGCGTCAGCGGAGGCGTCTTCGGACGGCGGGTGGCAAAGAGAGTAGAAGGTTCGAAAGGCGGTGGAGAGGGTGCCTTCACAGGCGGAGGCTGGGGTAGGTGACCGTCCTTCCTATCGTCGAGGATGTCGCCAATAACCTTGAAAGATAGCTCGGAGATAGGTGATTTGGGCTTGTGGATGTATTTGGCAACATAGGCAGAGGTCTCCTCGTGCGTCGGCGGTGAACCTTTGAAAAGGGCTTCGCGCGCAGACACGAGGCGCATCACGTCCCGAAGCGGAAGTTTCTCTGCCTCTTTCAGGCTCAAAGTTTTATGGCGCACGCACAGCGCGACGAAGGCGGGGTGAAGCCAAGCTTCGACATCGTATGCACGTGCCAGACGAAGCTTCTCCAATGGAGGGGCGGCAATCCCGAGGACGCTGATGGCCAACTCGCGCTTGCCTTTAAATTTCCACATCGTCGACAGGCGCAAGACGGCGACCCACTCTTCCAGCGCCTTCGCCTTCATATCCGAACCGGAGCTGTGGTACCTTCTTTATGAGAACAAGTGGGATAGTATGTGGAATGAGATCCACGTACGTCGGGTATAGCGTAGAGAGAAACGCGTCCATCTCCTCTTTGCGCACGTCGGGCAGGTTGATGAGATCGGTCTCGAGCCCGGGGCTGGCGAGCTTCTTAGCCCAGTACGGCGAGGAACGTGTGAAGAAGTCCTTGTGCAAGCGATACGTGGTGCCGCCGGCAACCTGGGGTGCACCGTCAGTTAGTCGGTCGAAACAATTGCGCGCTGGAGACGTACCGTGAGATTGAGCATGTCGGCGTTGAAGAAGTACTTCTCATGCGGGATATGGTTCGAGTTCGCAGTCTGTTGATCGGCGCCTTCATCTGTCGCCTCGAGGCGTGGCTGACCAATCGTTTTGTCCTCAGGAGGGATTGTGGGGTTTGCCTTCGTGCCAGTCTCTCCGTTGCAAACGGGAGCCGGGACTTGGGAGTCATCTGAGGGGAGCGTAGGCGACAAGAGATCAATATCGGAGGCATCCGAGACAGATTCAAGAGACGGTGACGAAGCGCGACTGGGAGTGGGAGACGACATGGGTGGCGGTCAATGGCAAGCTCTACGCAACTCTCAGAAGCAAGATATACTCCTCGCAGACGCCGGTGCATATATGACTGGGGTTTGACCAGGAGGTACACATGCGGCGGATTCGCTCCCAAGGGAGTCAGAAGCGTGGGTATCTGACCGCATCCTGCGTATATTCAATTCCAGCCTAGGCTGTTCGGTCCCGTACGCGCAGGAGACCATATTACGTGCACGCCGCATATGGTCAGACATTTGCTACAACAAGGTCAATGGCAACTGAATAGATACATTATGCGTCATGCAGCAGCACACTCGGAGGGCCTCGCCTCTTCCAAATACTATGTCCAATCAAATGTCGGGCGAGACGTCTTTCCTGCCTCTCCGCGCGAAGTACGTCCGTACGCTCAAGACACCTTCTTCAGCCGCAAAAGTTCCACAGAGGCCATATGTAGCGAATGTCCCTTCCATTTTGAGCGAAGATGATCGCGATGGGCAGGAACCGCCCTTCCCAACAGTTCAGGTTTTGAGCGTCACGTCCACTAGGTCCCCTTATCACGCGCAAGAATGCAGTAGAATGAATCGCGGCAATATATCAACATTGCGGGCAGCCGGGAGAGTGAGATGGCATGAGTGCGTGGTGGTGGTGAGAGCCAACTCGCGCACGCGCTCCGACGCGCCTGTGCAAACTTTTCTCGAGCGCGCCACAACGATTCCCTAGCGACTCTTCTTCCCATACGTGCATCTACACTCGAGATCCCAGCCCTATACTACGCGTAGAACCCTAGTCAATATACACGAAGCATGGCTCAGCGCACGCAACCCACTATCATTCTGACCGGCACGCCCGGTACAGGCAAAACGACCCACGGAGAGCTGATTGCGGCGCAATTGCCGGAGCTGAAGCACATCAATGTTGGCGATATGGTGAAGGAAAGAGGATTGCATGAGGGCTGGGATGAAGAATGGCAGAGTTGGAACGTCGATGAGGATAAGGTACGCGTGAAGCAGCTTTCAATTTGGATTTCATTGTTCTACGGCGCATTTGTGCACGCGCAGCACTCGGATTATACTCGCCAACATATCATGCAAGCGCCATTAAGTACTAATATTATATAACAGCTACTCGACGAGTTGGAACCGCTGGCGAGCGCAGGAGGCGTCATCTTGGACTGGCACACCTGCGAACTGTTCCCCGAACGCTGGGCCGACCTCGTCGTCGTCCTGCGCTGCCAACATACTAAACTCTGGGAACGCCTCGAATCCCGGTATGCCCTTCCCATCCCTTCCTCCTACACTCCCACTGATGTGGATAATCCAGCAACTACCCGCTGAAGAAGATCCAGGAGAACAACGAGGCGGAGATAATGGGTGTCGTGTCCGAGGAAGCGCGGGAGAGTTACGCGCCGGAGATCGTGGTCGAGTTGCAGAGCGAGAGCACCGATGACCTTGAGGCGAATGTGGCGCGCGTCGTCGCGTGGGTCGAAGCCTGGAGGAAGGACCATCCAGCGGAAGATGCCGAGTCGTAGTGTATTGTATTATTGTACAATGCTTCGCGTTGTTGTTGCCCTTGCTGTAGCCATATTCCCACGGTTCCATCTATACTGCTCTAACGCCGACCCCGATCCTCGCGGCCAACTCTCTCGTAGCAAGCGCGCTGATCTTCCGTCCTCGGACAACAACCGCGCCCAGCGCGCAGGCGGCAATAAACGCGTTGCACGCAATGAACTCCCAGAAGTCCGCTCGTTCGCGGGCCGGTATCCGACCACAACTGGCCCATGCGGGTACCAGACCTGTGACGGGGTTGCCGGATTTGTCCAGTTCTGTTGGCGGTGTATCGAAAGAGGATGCGGCAGAGTCGGAGGGAGTAACAGGGGAGGAAGACGTGCAGTGCATCAACTGTCGGTTACCGAATGGCTGGCAGAATGGTTCCTTCAGCTATAGAGTGTGTCAGCATGATGTAGGCATCAAATGAGAAACAATACGTACGGCATCATCCGGACAGGGTTCACAGCGGCCATATGGGGTACATACTGGCTGCTCGGTCTTGGGTGCGGGCGTCGATGGCCCGTCTTTGAACGGGTTGGGTACCGTCTCCAGATTGTCTTGCGCGACCACAAGTGCAACTAAAACGCTACTGTGATGTACGTAAGTACCATGTCGCATCGTCTGAAGTCAGACTACTGACAGGATGAAGAGATAGGACCATTGTGCGAGCATTGAGATGGTAGTCCAAGGCAAGTGGTGAGACGCGTCTGGCCGCCCACTGCGCGCCACACGACCAAGTCGAAAGCCGAAACTTCATCTGATTGCGCGGGCGCTCTCTTTTGCCTTCGACATTCATCTAGTGATCTATCCCTGTTTGCTGCATCATACCATGCCCGAGGTGCAGCAGCCTCGGTACGCACAAAGACTATGCCCATGGCTCGCGTCCATACTAATGAGTGCTCTAGTGACCGCTCTGAGCCTACAGGCGCATCGGCGCGTACGAAGGGACGAATCAGGATTCGTTGTGCGTACTTCTTCGATCCTGGGTCTGCTGGCGCGTCTCGTGTTGAACGCTCGCACCAGTGCATAGCTGTACAGGGGTTCCCTCCAGGAAGAAACTGTACTTGTATTACATCTCCCTTCGCCTGGACTCGCCTGGCGAGCCACTTCTCCGGGAGAAGTCGCTTTCCCGGAGCATCTCTGCCGAGGGCACAGTGACCTGGGACGAAGACATCTATATGTATGCTACAGACCGCAACAATAAGTTACTTGGCTCATTGCTCTCTAGGGATGGTCACCGCTCGTCATCGCTTCGCTTGAGGCTATACGAGACGCATGAGTTCATGTGGGACAAAGTCGTCTGTGAACTCAACACGCCGCTGGACCTCCTTCTATCAAGGGACGAAGGTAGAGTTCTATCCTGAACAAGCCGCGTGCATTGCCTGATCCTTCTGCATCTAGCTTCTCTTACATCAAAGAGTGGTGTTACTGTTCTCCTCCGACTCACGGTTACGGAGGTCCGCGATGGGGGCCGTCAAGAGATGGTGCACGTTATCACCGACACGCAGGCGCCCGCTGAATCGCACACCGCTCTCATGGCCTCTCAATTGGATAACGCTGCATCTGCAGCAATGCCTGTAGTAGCGATACATGATCAATGGGGGCCGCTCCTTGAGAAGATCAGTGCTGTAGCGGATATAGCGAAAGCCATCGCTGAAGTAAGTCCGGCCGGATGTAGTTGTGTGGCTTCCTCTAACGCCGCCAAGATCCACCCCTATACTAGCATCGCGTGGAGTGTCATGTCTGCAGGCTATGAGGTGATTGCATCCCGTCTGCGGCACTGGCCAAAAGCTCATGCCATCCTCCAAGCTGGTCAAAAAGCAGAACGACCGCGATGAGGCCGTTGCCAAGCTTGTTGAGGCTCTGAACTCAACATACGATGTTGTTCTTGCTGGTGACAGCCTCTTGAACGCATCGATTACACAGAGGAAGGCCATCTCTACGTTGGTCAAGCAAACTATCGAGTGTGGTCACTTCGTGCGCTCGTACTTGAAGAAGGGCTTCTGTACGTAACTTCAGCAGCACGTTGCCAGTGTACCCGTGCTTACACAGTGCCCAGGGGGGAGGGCCGTTCGAGTCCCCATCACCTCCGTCGACAAGGATATCGAGGAGTTCCGTCAACAGCTCGGACAACTACAAGCGAGTCTGGTCACCCATAGTGCTCTCGTAGTGCAACGCGACGTACATCTTATACTCGGGAATTCTGAGGCGATGGGTGAGCCGTCAGCTTCTATGACATACAATGTCGATCTAATACACCGAAAGCGGATAACGTCGACCTTCTCGATATGCAGTATACGAAGACGGCCCGTTGGCGTAGCGGGAAAAGATGTCTGCCTGGGACTCGCGTGGCTCTAATATCTGAAGTTCTTCAGTGGGCTCACTCATTTGATGACGATGCCCCGCGGATTCTCCTGTTGACTGGCGTAGCCGGAGTTGGAAAGTCATCTGTGTCCCATACGATCGCTAGCAAACTCGAAGATTCCCACCATCTGGCGGCCTCCTACTGTTTCGACCGCAACGATCCAGAACACCATCGACCAAGTCTACTCTTTCCGACCATCGCCCGTCATCTCGCGGACACGCACCTTCCTTTCAAGCACGCGCTCGTCCATGCCAACAGCGCTGCCACATTTGGAACACCTGATCTTGAGGATCAATTCGAGAACCTCTTGCTCAAGCCTCTTCGTGATCTGACCTATATCGGACCGCTGGTCATTGTTATAGACGCCCTTGACGAGAGCGGCGACGTTCAGACGCGAGCGCTGATGCTCACGATACTCTCAAAACGCTTCCCGGAGCTGCCCCGGAACTTTCGCCTCCTTCTGACTAGCCGTCCTGAAGACGATGTCATGAAATCGTTCGATGATAAGCCTCACGTCTTGTGCAAAACCGTCCGTTCGGCTGCCAATGACGATGTCACGGCCTACATAGCCAGCAAACTCGTGGATCGGGATGGCCGCCCACTCCCTACATTCACTTACGATGATTACATCCGACTCTCCAACAAATCCGAGGGCCTCTTCCAGTGGGCCACGATCGCATGCACTGCCATTGTTCATGGGAACAACCGGAATCTCCCTCCCACGTCCAAGCAGATGCGCGACTCGTTTGAGCGCTTCGTGTCACTATCGTCCGGCGCTCTTGACTACATCTATTATCATGTCTTGGAGCTTTTGCTTCCTGAACCTTCCGGCGAGGATGTCATCTTTCTGAAGATTCTTGGTTTCATCGTGACTAGCAAAGAGCCAATCACTTCCAATACAATCTTTGAGCTATTACAATTAGCGGACGACGAAAGGGAATCAATGGATATCTTTCTCCGAGGTCTGGGCGCAGTGCTCACTGGCGTGACGAGCCGAGTTCAGGAACCCATCCGAACCTCTCATTCATCATTCCGCGATTTCTTACTCGGGGGATCGCGTACCGGACGCTTCCATGTCGACGAATCCTCCATACAGCGAGACATGGCTTCTATGTGCTTGAAGGTGCTCGACCGAGACCTACATTTCAACATGTTTGGGATCGAATCCTCCTACTTCACCCACGACGACATGCGATCACGTCGTAGATTGGGAGAGAGTGTCCCTGCAACGCTTGCATATGCAGCTTGCTATGCCGTCGCTCACACCACTCATTCGGTGCACAATCCAATGGAGGCGACTCGGAGTCTTCTCGAGCAGTATTTCGACCTACTGAGTGAGAGATTCCTCCCGTGGCTTGAGCTCGCAAGCATTCTAGGAGACCCATCTGACTTTGTTCATCTTCATTCCTCTCTCAGCTTGCTCATAAAGGACAAAAACCTTGATATCGGCGGCAAGATTGAGCTCGCTAGATCTTGTTCAAACTTGATTGAGCACTCCCGATCGGCCATCGATCGCAGCATACCGCACATCTACCTGTCGGCTTATGCTCTATATAGTGCGATCATCTCTACGCCTCACATACCATCATCACATGAGCCGTATGAAGTTCGCGGTATCCGACGGCTGCCAGTTCTTGCACCATCAAGTCTCGGCATTCCCGGGCGTTTTGGCTCTCCCCAGGTCGAATGTGCTGTTCTCTCGCCAGATAATGTTTGGATGGTACTAGGCTTTGAAAAGGGGACACTCGAGGTCTGGAATGCCCGCCATCGGACGTTTGAGGGATACATCCGGGCAGTGCATGGTGACGCTGTCACGGTCCTCGCGTTCAGTCCTGATAGTGCTCAGTTTACGACAGGATCGAAGACGGGTATCAGTCTGATCTGGAGTATCGACTCGAAAGGCAAAGTCAAAGTCCGGCACCTACTTATTCTTAACGGCCATACAGCGAGGATAAACTCCATGGCGTTCTCGCCTGACGCTCGGTTCATCGCATCGGGCTCATCTGACTGCACTATCCGCCTGTGGAATGCAAAGGAAGGCACATACTTGAATTCAGTGAGCTGCACAAGCGGCATATGCTCTGTGGTCTTCTCTCCAGATGGATCCCAGTTGGCATTTGGCCTTTACAATAACATGGTCCACGTATGGGACTCTCAATTGCTCGAGCCATGTTTCGCACCGCTCGCAGGACATAGAAAGCAAGTGCACTCAGTCGCGTTCTCAAGCGATGGAAAGACTATCATTTCCGGGGCACATTATGGAGCGATCTACGTATGGGACTCTTGGACAGGTGTCCTCATGCAGAAGAGGCCATGCATCGGCCGCACAGAGGATATCACATCCGTGTCTATCTCGCCTGATGGTCTCTACATCGCATCCGTTTCTTGGCAACACAACACGGTCTATGTATGGAGCACACAGGGCGCCGAGTCAGGCGGTCCACTCTTCACCAACAACACGACAGGGCGGGCATTCGTGGCTTTCGCTCATGAGGGTCAGATCATATCTTCTTGTCGTTTTGGCACAGGGTTCAGCAGGATGTACAGAGTGCGAATCTGGAACATCAACGAGCCCGGGCGGGCGACACGGATGCACACTTTTGCGCCGGACACCTCGTTCGCACTCAGGGATTATCCGAACGACTCCAATGGGGTTGTGACACGGGCGGAGCCGGAGGAGTGCCCATTATTACCTGCATTCCGACTCGAACGAGACGGGTTCGTAAAGGACATCACTCGTTCTCCGCCCAACCATCTTATCTTCATACCGGAGCAGTTCCGCAAACGACTGTACCTCCCTCCCATGACACACATCTTCAGCCCTCACCCCACATACCAACTCGATTTGAGCGATTTTGCGCACGGAACACGCTGGACGGATATTTTCCACGGAGACTCTCCTGGTGGCTCAGAGCCACAGATCAGTAGCACATGATCTACATATCAAAACTGATGCACTATAAATATACAAGTTGAAATATGCCTCTATCATGGATTGTATAAGGCTCACGCCTGCGTGCGGTCGGGAAGAGCCGACTGAAACGAGAGTTCATCCTCGCACATCACGGTCATTCCGATACCCGTAAGACCCCATGCGAGGCAAATAGATGAGTCGCTAGAAATATGTCCGGGCGATTGGGGAAAACTGTGCAAGTAGCGTGAATCTGAGAACCCAGCGCGGTGCGCGCATCATCGTGGTAGAAAGCCAACTCGCGTGAGCGCGTGGCGCGATCAGGTCGCGCGTCAACGCGTCGACTTGCTTCTCACCTCCATCTCATCATATTGATCAACTCTCCGAGCGTCTAACTATGCCGCGCATAATCGAAGAAGTATCCGAGGACGAGTTTGACGACGATACGGACCTGCCCCTCCCGTCCCGACCGCTGCCAGATAATAATGGCAAGGGTCCGCTGTTGATGGAGATCGGCGAGGCGGACGACTATATTCCCGTCCAAAACGCCCAGTCAACCGCACCCGTCCGCGGCGCCTCCTCCTCGTCCACGCCTTCCAATCAACAGCCGTCACAGGCTGACATGGACGAGATGCTTCGCCGCATGGCCGCCCAGCACATGGCCGGCTCGTCGACGCCGAACATCGCGACGGATATTACGCCCTACAAGTCCTGGACTTGCGTCTACCCGATTTACCTTGACGCAAAAGTGCCGTATGGGACCGGCACGCGCCGTGTGAGGCGTGCGAGTGCGGTATGGCACCCACTGGCGAAGGATGTGGCGGACGCGGCGCAGAGGTTAGGCTTGCCGACGTTGCTGGAGATTGATAAGAGGCATCCGAGGGACTGGGCAAATCCGGGCCGTGTCAGGGTGCAGCTCAAGCGCGATGGAGTTCTGGTAAACCGCAACATCACAAATAGTATGTCATATCATCATCGCCACTCCTAATACAGAAGTGCTTATGTGCTCTGTAGAAAAACACCTACTCGAAGCATTGGGCGAACAGATGCAGCGCACCAAGACCGAGAATGTTCCGCGCGAGCCGTACATCTACCCGCCCCCACCAGTCCACCCAACGCCCGCACGCAAACACAAGGCCATCGCAGCCAAGGGCAAGTCCGCTGCGCACAAGCCCTCCAACGCAGTAGACAAGGGTACGCACGAGGCCAAGCGCACTTATCGACCGCTACCTGTCCCACCCGAGCCTCAACCCAGCTTATCTGCGCGATTACCGGTCAATAGTCCGCTTATACCAACTGGAGCGCTGTTGGATGCCGTCAAAGCTGGGATCACCGCTCAACAGGAACAGGCGCAACAGGCGCAGCAAGCGGGTGCAGGCAAGCAGAAGAGGAAGGTTGTCCGGATGAGAGGGTAGTCGAAGCGGTCAGGACTGGAAACCTGTATCTACTAGGATATGGAGTGCTTGGATGTATGAATGCGTCGGGGTGCTGTTGTCTTGTTCCAACGAGAATGATAGGCGCCGAACATGCTTCTCGCTCGGTCCGAAGGTGCCGACTGTGGCACGACGCAACACGAAGGCTTTCGACCGTTACCACCACCATTGCTTCTACTGAAACACCTAGGATGACCGTTCCTCCGCCCTCTCCTCAGAGCGTGGTATTATGCGATCTGTCGGATGATATGTCACTATCATCCGTCCCCGAGTCCAGCTGTAGCTTAGGGGATGGGCCTTTCCTCGACGCTCCCGGGACGGACGGGAAGAAGCGAGGCCGATACTTCTACTCTGCTGATATGCTAACATTCGCAGTGCGTAGCCTCCACTATCGCATATTTCAGCGCAGAATCATTGACGCCGCGTGGATATCCAGGTTGAAGATGCTGTGTATCGCGTTCATGGCTATCTGTTCACTCGGCATTCTTCCCACTGGGCGTCCGAGGCGGCTCAACTGGATATCTTCTCCGAGCCGCACGTTCTTGATGACGTGACAGCTCGAGAGATGGAGGCCTTCTTGTCCATACTGTATCCATCGTACGTCTCATATACCTTTAAACTCGATCCGGTATTCAGCCTGACGAGACCTTACCGCTATGTAGCGATCTGAAGGGCCATGATCCCTCTTCCGTCGAAGAATGGTCAGGCGTTCTGCGCCTGGCTACAAAATGGGAATTCACCAGTATGCGTCACATCGCGATCACCAAACTGGGACGTCTGGCTTCTCCTCTTGAGAAGCTTATCTTTGGCCGCGCCATGGACGTCCCGGACTGGATCGTACCGGCACTCGTCGCGCTTTGCGCGCGTTCCGAGATGCTTTCACTTGACGAGGCGAGGCAGTTATCGCTTGAGGACGTGTTGCGCATCACTTCAGTTCGGGAAGATGCGTGGCGTAACCCGGACCCCTCCTTCGCGCCTTCGCAAACGGCTATTGCCGATCGCCTTCAGACTAGAGGACCACCTTCACACTTGTCTCCTCCACTACCCACTTCTCCCCGCGCGCCATCTCCTGCACCCTCGTCGGCGGCGGCGCCAGTTCTCGGCCCTGCTGGTGCTGCGCCGGCGCCTATCATGGCGACGCACGCGAGCGAGGCACCGCCCAAGTCAAAGCCCGGCGCCATTATTCCCGACTCCTCTCACGGCAACGAGTCGCAGCTACAGCTCTCATCCGAGGAACCCCCTATCCCATTGATGTCCCCCGCTGAGTTACAGCAGACTCTTCAACGGCTGATGAACTTGGACCAAGACTACGAAGAGGCTGCCCGCCTTCTTCAGGACAGCAGCGTGTCTGCATTCTCCCAATTCCTGCTCGACGGGTCCAAAAGCACCCCAGGAAGCGGCCAACAAAATGCTCTCACGCTCTGGCGCTTCTTGAATGCTGCTCTGAATCGAGCTGTCTCGCGGTCCAGCACGGATATATCGAAGACCGTGACCGCGCTCGTCAAAACGATATGTAACGAACTTCAAACACGGACAGCCGATATGCAGTCCAGGCCAAGGAAAACTTTTAGCTTCCAGAGTACCTCGCAGGGCCAACTGCACAACATGCTGAGAACCATATTCATATGCGTCGGTCAATTCTGGCGCGACGTGGAGCAGGCGTGCGCTGCCTATGGGAACTTCGGACTTGGTTACGCCTCCGTAGCGCTGAAGACATGCCCATGCAAGCGTAGTGAAACCCCAGGCTCAGCTGGTTTTGCGATGACTCACCAGGAGATCGCGTACATCATAGCCATTCGGGATGTGGCCAAGTCAGAGCGTAGGACCAATATGGCGCGGGAAGCGTATAATCAGCGATGCGCTAAGCTACACGAGTTGCTGGTGTCTTTCGCCGACGCTCAAAATCTCACCGAGGCTGTCCCTTCTTTCCTCCCTTGTCCAATTCAGGGTTACTGATGACAGTGGCAAGTGATGGCCATGGGCACGACTTGTCGATGCAATGGCTAAGAGCTCCTGATGTAACTGATACGGGAAAGTGACCTGCGGTAGATACAAGGTATACAGAATCATACATATGCAACATTGTGGTCCCTTTATCGCTCATCGCGTATCAAGATATGATGAAGCTCCCATGCAATCAACGAGTAAGCAGGTGAGACACGGCGGCCGCGGTATTCACTCTTTTCTCTGGCAATCCAAGAAGGGGTGCACGGACTCAGCTACTGCGCCTGTTGGGCCTCTTCCTCAGAACACGGCGAGTGGTTTCCTTCGGATGTATGTCGAAGAACCCCGTCAAAGGCTGCGGTTTGAACTCGCGTTGGGGCGAAGATTCCTCGTCATCTTCGCGTCGTTGGCGCTTCATGCGGGCTTCTCCATCGTGATCTTGCTCGATGTGTCTATTCAGCTTCGGGGTGTCTTTGAAGCATCGGTCGCAGTGAGAGCAAACATGCTGAAAGGCGAAGTTGTCTGCACGGCTGGAACGTATCATATGAGCCAATACTGTATAGGTTCGCATAGCATTACTTACTGTGTGTGTACGTGGTAGCGCTCCCCGTGTGAGCGCTGAGCGAACTTTCTGTATGAGGTTAGCGACACCGCAGATGAGAAGTAAAGGCATGATGCACACCTTCCGCACCAAGTGCATTGGGCTCGTCTAGTTAACGCCACTCAGCAATGATAGACCTCGGGTGAGAGAGCACCCACTTGATTGCCATGTGTTTGCTCTCAATGTGTCGTTTCATGGCGGTCTTGCTAGCCGTGTAACCGCAGCAAAAGGGTTTCCCGTCTGCCATCTCTTCATGGGTACAACTCCACATCTTCGTTTCGGATGGAACCTGTTCAACGTATTTGAGGTACTCCTCGCCATCGACATTGACGTCTATGTTGATGATCTCGAGCTTGACACCCTTGCGGTTGAAAAGAACCTCACGAGGGTTCTCAGAAGGACAGTCCTGTATACGATAGGCAACACAGTCATCGTCGTACACTTCATCTGTGCTGGCATCGTCGGGCTGGTCAGAGTTTGACTGAGCTTCCGGATGTCGCCGCCCGTGAAGATGTTCCGAGAAGACCCGTTTGCCTAGGACTGAGGTTGTTGAAGAAGTATTGGGACAAGGATACACCTGAGGGCTGTCAACGCAGAATCAGCAACTGGACTCGAGAGGACGACGAAGCACAAGGAATCTGACCTTAAACTTGTAGACGCGACGCTCAATATACCACTGTGATAGCGGCTACTACTACCCGATGAGAATGCGGGCTCATCACGCGAACTTGCAGAGGGTTGTACCGCCGAGGAACTCTCTCTGAAAGGAGGGTGGTCAGAGCGTGTATGTGACTTTACCCACGAGATACGCACGAGTCACTTTCCCAGAAGTATTGACGTGGTGGAGAGTGGGGCAAATACGTTGACGGGGAAGGCGAGCGATAGGAATTATACCTAGATGGAATTATATTCATCAGTTCGTGACGAGCAACGGTAGGGAGTGATACATACCTGTTAGCGTCTACCCTCCTTAAGCTCAGAAGCAGATCCGCCGCGCGGGCAACCTCGGGGCTCACACCAACATCCCCTCGAGTGATGTCGTTGGTCCCTGTTCTATTCCTTTCGGAAGCCTGCAATACGGGAGACGGCGTATAGGGCGAAGAGTTGGATTGCTCCCAGGGACGAAGAGGCATAGTGCACGAGTTCAGAGTGGTGGTGGGTCGACTGAAAACGGCGCATGGCGGTGAGACTTAAGGAAAGGACGGCCTCGACTATTCGCACATGGCAACCAGATACAAAATTTCAAGCTTTGGGAAACCCGCCACAGGTTTTGCAGGGCGCCCTTCAAGTTCTTGCACCGCCTCCGCTCAAGACAGCAGTTAAGCGAGAGAGATGGTCTCTCAACTTCCAGGCTCGTGTGCTTTCGTAGCGCCCAAACGACTTATGTTTGAAAAGCGCAGCATAGAATACGAGGCGGTGCTTTCGATAGCAGAAGATGGAGACGTAGGCGCCTATTCGCCCGGACGTCCAAGAAACCTAGTGGACGCAGCAAACCCTTGCCCTTCGCGATTGCAGTTTTCTGACTTCTTCAGTTGCATGAGAAGATTAGGACGAGTCGGAATGTTATCGGACATCTTGAAGGTTGGCGGGGTTCACCGTAAGCAACAGGAGGGTGGCCGTGGCTGTCGCGGTTAAACACGTCGCGCTGCGTGGAAAAGTTGATGGTTGGCCACGTGTGGACGCCCGCGTCGGTCCCGTTGGTTCGACGCTCCTGTTCGCTCGAGCTACGACCTATTCGTGAATTTGATACGTGGATGTCTATCTGCTATTTTCTCCCTCCCTTCAACTATGTGGTGCCAGTATATCTAGTAGACTGAGGCAACACTTCGAGCAAGTCGTAGCATGCAAGTTCGCATATCGGCGCCAGCGATAACACAGCCTAGAGGGATGCGCGGCAGGCTCGAGGATAGCGACCTGTGCTGTATGCCATCAGGCTTTTGCGGCCCAGGCCTACCTGTCGTGAATGTGTACGCCAGAGAATCCAACCTTTGGCTTGTCTCAGTACTGCCTTCGGCCAAGCGCGCTTCCCACACTGATCGCCTGAAGACGAATCTTCAATGGGCGACCGCGTTGCGCTAGACACAGCGTACTAGGAAGTCGCACAGGCAACCTTCGCAACGTCTACTAGGCGGTATAGGCCGGTATTCTGTGCTGTTATGCCAAACCCGTGGGAGCGATGCGCCCGTGAAAAGATGAAATGTAAGCCTCGGTTCCGGAGACGCGCGTTCAGAAGCAGTTGAATGACGTAGCATGCATCTAGGCTCGCCTGTCGTCGCCCTCTCGCTGTCAAAACGAGGTGCCCCATGTCATGGTGAATGTCGTTCTACGGGACCGAGATACTGTTGGGGGGAAATATCACAGACATATATGTCAGAGCGAAGGCTAGAATGCCCACAGATATGACTCCGTCCAATCAGGACAGTCATATTTCCGCTTGTGACAGTACTGATGTCTGACACTTGACTGCATGATGCTGGCCTTCTGAGCTCTAGACGTTAGGGGGAGACATGACTCCAACTGCTGGGCGACATATAGAAGACCTCAACGCCCGGTCAGCGCTCGCGACGTACCTAGTCAACTTGACCACCACCATCGCCCACTGCCATTCGACTCTTACTCTCTGAACCTATGTCATCCTCACCCATCGCCCGCTCACGTTCGCCGTCTCTCAAGTCCGTATCCGACTTTGCGGACGATGATGGCACGCCTTCTACCCAAGCCATTGACGATACTCCGGTCGTCATCTACCATTCAAATACTACTGAGAACACCATGCCATCCGACGCTCGCGAGTCAAAGGAGGCTGATAGTCCTGACAATACCACCATCGAACCTGCGCGCTTAACCACGGATCCTGACGCTTTTGGCGCGAAGCATGAGCGCTACTTCTTCGACCTCGAACTCCTCACCTTTTCGGCACGTCTCTTTCACCACTCCTCAGGATCATCGCTTACCTATATCCTTCATTAGGTTCAGGGCACCTTGTACCGCATACATAGCCAGTTCTTCACCCAGTTCTCCACGTACTGGGCCACAAGGCTCGCAAATGCCGAGTCTAATAACTACCCACTCATCCTAGACGACGTGAACGTGAAGGAGATAGATGCACTCCTGTCCATCCTATACCCGGTGTGCGTACCCTTATGTGCCCTTGATTGCACGTGTACTGGCTGACAGCCTTCACAGGCCACAGGAAAATCCCAGGACGCTCGAAGATTGGCAATCTATCCTACGTCTCGCCACTATGTGGGGTTTCAAGGAACAGCGCAACCAAGCGATCACGGCGCTCGAGCCCCGTCTGTCCCCACTTCAGAGGCTGTGTCTCGCTCGTGCGCATGGGATCGAGATATGGGTTCATCCCGCATTCGTGGCGATGATCCTGCGTCCTAAGACTCTGAGCTTGGCCGAAGCCGAACAGCTTTCTCTCCAGGATACGATGCATATCATGACCGCCCGCGAGGCTCTTTACCAAACCCATATGGGCACCCCTCCGCAAGGCGTCGTCTCGGAATATGTTGCTCAACATATCCACAAACCTATCGCCCCTCTTACTCGCCAAACGCCACCACCACCCGCTCGACCTTCTGGCGGACTTTTTAGCAACGGCACTCAACCGTCGCAGAAGTTGACGCTATCTGATACCCCCACCGTCGACGAGAAGAAGACCTTCGCTAAACTATTCTCCTCATACCAGCTTTCATCTGCGCTTTGCGCGGTCCAGTCATCCAACATCCCAGCATTCTGCGACCTGCTGGTCGAGTTCAGTAGCATGCTTAAACCCACCGGTTGCTTCTCAACGCTCCTCTCTGATGTTCTCTCTCGTGGAGCGGTCCATCAATCATTCATTCCCATCGGCACCCAGCTGTTGAAAGCAGTTATCCTGAAGCTTCCTCCGGCTCCGGCCCCAAGCGTCTCCTCCCGGGACTATACCTCCTTCGACCTCTTTCCCAAGTACGTCGCCACTCTCGAAGTGACGCAGGCGAAAGCCAAGTCAGACATCAAGTCGTACTTCGACGACCTGGAGAAGTTCCAGCTGTCGGTGGAAAGGGCCATGACCAAATATGGCGACTTCACGTTGGCGTTCACGTCGGCCAGACTGGCCGAGGCTGGCAGCCAATCTTCGTCGATATTTGGGGGACCGTCGCTATTTGGTGGGCGGGACGTCGATCAGAGCGACTACAAGAAGAGGAGCGCAAATCTCCGTACATTTGCCGCTGCTCTCACGGAGGTCGGGCTTCTCGGGAAGCAGGTCTTCTTGAGTGAGAGCCTGGAACGCCTACGCGAGACAATCAAGTCTTTCAGTGCCGTTGGGAAGATAGACGTTTGACGTCCTGCGTCCGCATTCAATAACTCCCTATCCTGCCTATGATCTTCTGTAGCCTCGGATGCAAGCGCGTTTCCGATCTTCGATAGCAGATTCCAAGTACGACGTGTTGGCTGTAACTGTACAATGAAAATGTCTCTCATCTTGATCACGTTATCCAATTGTTACATACAAGATACATAGTACATTGCGAAGTACAGTCGTATGCGGTATAGCTCTGGATGCGGATATTGTCAGCTCGTACTCGAACGCGAATGAGATGTAGACATATGACGATGACCAGCTACTCTTGTACCAGTAAGCTCGCCCGTACAAGATGTTCTCGGAAGGTTGTCATATTCGCGCATCTCTCCGCGTAGATTTCAGGGTGTTCAGCCAGAAAGTGTACATCACCCATCACCCACGTATAGCCGGCTTTCTTGATAGCGGCAGCGAGGCGGCGATCGGAAGCATCTTTGGGCGCATGATGTGCAGCATCGACTATCTGCTGGAGCGTGTTATCGAATTTCGTTCTTGTGGCCTCGAATCGCGAGACGAATGATAGTATTGAAGTCGCCAGCGGGATGAAAGCCGATTCACGTGCAGCGCGCTCGAAGATAGCCATGTTTATGGCGATGATATCTGTGTCACGTACATAAGGCGCTGCCATCTCGCAGAAGGCAAGCAGGTTATCGGAGCGAACGTGGCGTATGACACCAGACCAGTCAACACCCCACGATGCGGGTAGTATAGGATGGATTGCTCTGAAGTCCTCATCCGACAATGGGGCGTACTGCCAAGGTGACAAAGATGTTTGCGCCTTGTCGTGGAGAGCAGACTGCACCCGGGATTCCCGTTGAACGTCCGTATGTGAGCTAATATCGCTCCGACGAGGGAGGGTCAAAGTATCCTCGGACGTCTGGCCCATCTTAAGCACGTCCTCGAGGACATAATTCCTCGCATGCTCCTCGTCGCAGGGCAGTCGACCGCTCAACATAGCCTCTCGGGCTGTAGTGATAACTACAAGGTCCTGCAGTTCGATTTTGCGCATCTCCTCCAAGGTCAGAGGGTTTTCGCGCATGATGAGACCCACAAAGGCAGGCAAAAGCCAGCCCTGGACATCGTAAGACCGGCTAAGCACGAGTCTTTCAAGAGGAGATGATAGGTCGTCGAGCTGTTGGATCGCGAGCTCGCGGATGCTTTCAACCTTCCACATGGTCGCGAGGCGCAGTACGGCAGTCCATTCTTCCCCAGACTGGAGCTCATGCTCACGATAGTTCCTGGGTTGGAATCAGCGTCCAGCCATTCTATGATGATATAGAGCGCGCACTTTGGGTACACGATCGACAGGAAGCTCGACAATTCGGCGCTTGAAACCGTGGTGTCTTCTTGAACGACATTCAAAGTCTCAACGGCGTCCATTCGTTCGGCCCAGAAAGTCGAAAGCGACGCAAGAAGGCTACCATGAACCCGGAAGATCAGGTCTTTAAACTATGCAGGTCATTAGCTTTGAGTGCACATGCAAGACGAGTTGAGGTAGGGATACCGAGAAAGATAATGTTCCATCCTTGAAATAGAAACGCGGGTGCTTGGGGAGTTCGCTATGAAGCGCCGGGGTAGATGCGTGGGACGGGTGGTCTGAAGAAGAAGAAGACACAATCAAAGGCACATCCGAGTCGCTGTCATAGGATCGAACAGAGGAAGGTGCGGCAGGCATGGTCGAGGATATGGTGGTGGTCGAGAGGAGTCGGATGCGCGCCACACGGGTCAGGGGCCGCCGCGCGACGACCTGCATGTCCCTCTTATCCACAACGCCCATTCCCTTATAAGAGAGAGACTCTTCCCCCTTGCTTGCCTCGTACTCTCTCATGAACCTGACTGGTATATCACGCTTTTGGGTCTACGAAAATCTATATCGAACATGATGATGTATATGTAGGCTGCCTTGCCTTGCAAGGCGAGACGGGCGCTGGACATGGACCGGTAGGCTTCTACTCTCCTACACCACGCCCCCACCTCATGACCTTCCTAGAATACCTGCGATAGCGGGCCTCAGACATGATCACATATCAGGGAGACCTGCCTCAGCCCATCAGAACCACTCACAGGCATGATGATGCCATCCCCCGCCGCCAGCCGCTCTTCGCCCTCTCCCTCGCTCGAGTCAACGACGAACTTCACCGACGCCGAATCTGAGTCTGTCGAGGCACATACCGACTCCATGGAAAGAGATGACGGAATAGTCGTATCATCCACGCACGTGCCGACTAGGGTGCCAGTTGGCGATCCCCTGCTGCCTGGACCGACCATAACCGCGAACACCGCTGTGCCCGTTATCGACGCAACGGCTCTAGATAACCGCGGCATCAATGCGAACGAACAGCGTGAGGCGACGCGCATCGCGAGTCTAGAGGCGCTAGGGAAAAGGCACGAGCGCTACTTCTTCACGGCCGATTTCCTCGCGTTTATTGTGCGTTCAAGCAGCGATGCGCATCTCTTTGCTAGCTGACGATGTTCATACAAAGGTTGAAGGAAGTGTGTATCGTGTTCACGAATACCTATTCGTCGATCTTTCCCCTCTCTGGGCGGAAAAGCTTGCGAGGCCTGACCGCACTGCCGACCCTATTCGGTTGGCGGACGTGTCTAGGCAAGAGATGGACGCATTTCTGTCGACTCTATACCCCACGTATGACCTCTTCATCATAAAGCTATGTCATAGTCTGATCAAACAACGCTAGGAGAGAACAAAACGACGCTTGCCACCTGTACGCGTACTGGTCTGCCGTGTTGCGGCTTGCCACCATGTGGAAGTTCGACAAACAGCGCGAGCTTGCCATCGACGCCCTCGAAGAGATAGCGAGCCCAATGGGGAAGCTCATCTTGGCTCGTCGCTACGATGTCGAAGTCTGGCTTCAGCCCGCCTTCATTGCGCTCTGTATGCGCCCTGCTACATTGAGCCTGAGTGAGGCCAAGCATCTGCCCTTGCAGGATGTCCTTCACATCACTTCGGCCCGCGAGGTGCTGATGATCAATGCGGAGGATGCTCCGACAGTGGAAGAGGTCTCCGACTACGTTGGCCAGCACATACTTGGGCTGCAGTCCACGGACGCCCATCCGTTGCGCGGAGCGGCCAATACATCTCCAAATGCCGTTGGGTCTGACGAACATAGCATGGAACCCTCGCCGATAGCTCTCACTCTCTCTGAGAATCCCACCGTCGATGAGAAACGAGCTTTCGTCGCTCTTTTTGCACAAAAAAACTTCAAGGTGGCATTGAGAGCTGTGACATCTCGCAACGTCAGGGCGTTCCTCGAGCTACTGAAAGATTTCAGTGCTGTGCTCAGTAGCCCGACGTTCTTTACGCTCGACCTCCTTCCCGAATTGGTCAATCGCGCCGCATTCAGCATACCAGACGGCATTATTGTTGTCGATTTACTCAAGGCGATACACCTCAGCCTTGCGGTTGAAGGCGATGATGGGACCATGAAACGGACTCTGACGCAGAGCACGCTGCGGGAAGTCATCCAAGATTTCGTGGCTGGCGTGTACACCTTTGTAGAGGGTCTCAATGAGGCATGTAGCAAGCATGCAGACTTCGCCTTAGGATACGCTCATATCGCATTGACTACCCGTAACAGCTTGCTCAGTGATGCATTCGGGTTTGGTAAGACTGTCACGAACGATGACCGCTCGTCGTTCAATCATAGATGTCATCGTCTGCAAGCCTTCTTTTCTGCCCTTGTTGGGGCTGAACTGCTTGCTGAAGACCAGCTGGGCGATCTGGGCTTGGCATGACCTATACCGTCTTAGCCGGTTGTCCTCCTCTTGTATTGCCACGTTGTAACCCGAGATTGGCAACAGATGTATATACCACGAAGCTTTCATACACATAAATGAGTGATCCTGTACATGATATACAATGGTGTTTCGTCAACGTGCACGTCCTATTGATTCGTAGGAAAACCGCGTGGTAATGAAATATCATGTACTTCTACTCCACAAACGTCTCCTCTCCGAGCGCTGCTATGAAAGGCTTTAGGTTCAAACTCCTCTGAATACACACGCTAGGGAATGCCACGAGGAAGTCTCGAGGACCGAGCACTTTGAAGGCCTTCGCGTGGCCGTCGAAGGAGGCCAATCGCCTGACGGATTCATCAGTGATATACCCACAAACGTCTATATGACGCCAGGTATCGCGTAGCTCCTCCACAATAGCTTTGAGTAAAGCCTTGTATTTGCGGAACAAACCCTTCTTAGGCTCGGATATGACAGCCAGGAACTCAAGCAAGCGAAGCGACCTTTGGTGAGAAGACGCGTCGAGAACAACGAGCCTCACGATGGCGAACGTGAGCTTCTCGTAGTTAGACAACCAGTCGAGGTCGTCTACGGATAGAGCGATGGCTTCGCAGAAGACCGGGAGGGTTTCGACACGAGCGTATTGAATCGCTGTGTCGTAGTCGTAGTTCGACAGCGCGGTCTTCAGCGCTTGAGACTCCTCGAAGGTGAATTGGGTGTTGGTATCATCAGGACGCGCGGATGGAAGAGTTTGTGGTGTCATGGTCGTCTCGGCCGCCGCGGGGGCCGCTTCGACTGAGGTCTGTGCAGGTTCTGTCACAGAAGATTTGGTGGGTGCGGGAAGCGACTCCTTTTCAGATTGTGCAGGTATCTGAACGATATGCTTCAAGACATGGGCGCGCACAGAGCGTGCGTTGGCCGAGACTTTCCTGCACAGGACAGCCTCTCTGCCGCTGGTGATGTGGGCAATGTCCTGGATGTTTGATTCCAACATCTTCATCTCGGCCATTGAGAGAGAAGCTTCACGTAAGATCAAGTTGACGAAGGCATCCGGAAGCCAGCTCGGTATGTCGTACGCCCGGCTTAGCACGAGCCGTTGAAGAGGCGGTAGACGACCGTCAAGTTCCCGGATAGCGAGCTCCCGGATACCATCAAAAGCCCAGATGCTAGCGAGCCGCAGCGTAGAGATCCATTCCGTGACAGAGTTCAGTTCAGGCGTGTAAAAGCCCCTGCGATTCCTCAGCATGGTTAAGCAAGTAGTGCCAGGTAGCACGAACCTGGGGTACAGAATCGAGAGAAAACTAGATAGCTCAGACGCCGACACACCGATGTCCCGTCCCACTATGTCCATAGTCTCTACCGATTCAAGTCTCTTCGCCCAGATGGGCGACAGAGACGCGAAGATAGACCCGTGGACACGAAACACGACATCGTTCATCTATTCGCGACCGTCAGCACCGATACGAGTCATGAGAAAGAATGAGCCGCGTTACCCAGAACGTGAGCGAGCCGTCTTTGTAGTAGAAGCGCGGATGCTTCGCAGGCTCGTTTAGCCCCGGCGTCGATACGCGCTTGAGATACTCTGACGTCTGTCCAGTGGGAGGCGGGGAAGACAGAATCCAAGCAACATCAGTATCTGACGCGCCGTCAAATGATTCTACGGATGAAGTAGAGACCGAAGTCATCGTTGAGGGTAGCGGTGGTGGTGGTCGATACTAAGGTCGTGCGCGACACACAGGCAGACATGGCTGCGATGATCGAACAATCGTTATCTAGGCGCCCAGACGCTCATATGCGTCTTCACATCGAAATCCGGACCTCATAGCAATCCTTACATAGAATCATCTGTCAATGACACACGGTGAGAAACTCGCGGTATATATCACGGTACATAGGGTATAACGGGATGTCAAGTTGAATCTAGCGTCCTGATCATGACTAGATCCCGAGCTCTGTCCTCAGAGCAAGCATGCGCGCAAGCACCTCCTCCAGCTCAGGGCAGAGGTCCTGATCAACGCGACCATCCGCCTGATCGAGTTGCTCTCCAAGCCTATCGGCAGCGTCCATGAGAAGAGGGTCGGCCGCCCGCATGAGGGCGTCTTCCGCATCGGCGACGCGAGCCTGGTGGCTTTCGCTGCTGAAGTCTTCCGAAGCTAGGCAACGCTCCAGCTCGGGCTCGGGAGACGTGAGGTTCGACTCGTTCGAGGTACCCGAGGTCTGGTCCTCAAAGAAGAAGGGCGCGTGGGCTGGTGCATGGCGGGACTGGCGACGAATAGCATGCATGCGCTGATTTGGTTAGTACAAATAAATATTAAAGGGGTGGGATGTACGCACGATGATGGGTGAAGTCGGGGCAGCTTCATACTGCATCACTTCAGCGCACTTTGTGTGGCGCGACGTAGTGCGGATGAAGAGCTTGCGGAGGGCAAACATGATGGATGGTGGGTGAGTTGATTGAGAGGGTGCGGTAAGCGTCAGGAAGGTTTTGTGAGTAGTTGTCGATGATACCTTCTCCACCCAGTAGTACGTCCTTTTGTACGTTGAAAGGGCCCTCCTGTCTTGTCGAGTACTTATGAGGCTGTAACGTATCCGAGTCTTCTGTGTTGCGTTCATGCGGAATTATGGTGGCGAGATTCGGGGACCGGTAGTCTCCGACACTGATCATCCTTTCGTGCGCCTGGTCTTGAGGGACGGTTCGAGTCGGATGGGCCGGATGCGATTCGGATGTGCACTCCAGACGGATAGGGGACACACGGAGTACATCGGGGCGCAGCTTGACTGGAGGTTGACAGGGGAGGAGACAAACAGTAATGTGGACAGGGGTTCGTTGCTCCATAGTCGATACTGAGTCGTCCCTCGTACCCCAGCGACAGTTCATGTATCTAGAGTCATGGGTATGAGAAGTCAAGTTGATGAATAGTCCGCGAGCTGTCAATCTTGATGGGAGTATAGCCTGCGCGGAGACATAAATCGGCGAGCCACAGCACCAGCGGCGAAGGATTGAATAAGAGACATCTCTCGCCGTATATCCTTACACCCGTGTGCGTGGACAGCGCCTGTGGGGGCGTCTTCCATATATTGAGGACGAGCCTCCTGAGAGACGCCGTCACGGGGCCATCTACATGGACTTGAACACAGACTATCAGGATAGTAGGCCGAATGGAGGATGAAAGTGTATATGCGATCGAGAAGTAGGGATATATAGCGTCGTATCCTGCAGGGCCTTCGGAGCGGATGGTCGTGGTCGCGGTTTGAGAGCAATTCTCGCCGGCGCGGTCGCGGCAAGCGCAGACTCGGTCGTTCCTCTCCCGCCACCACTGCCACGGGCGTCGAACACGTTCTTCCCGCCTACTGCGAAGGAGGCACCAATCCATGCATATGTGAACTTTTCCTGTGGCGCTCCGCCGGTCTGTTTGATCTCGTCGCCCGCTCGGGCATAGCCTCGTCTTTGCCGGCGATCTGCCTGCAGTACTGACAAGTACAGCTACACATCAAGACGTGCACCGCTCGCTTCGTAGTCGGACATCCCTTCGTGTCTAGGCTAGTGAATGTAACCCTTGTCCGAAATAGCCCTCGTACCTATCGAACAATGTCCAGCGTCCTTTACGACGAGCCCCTACGTCAATACCTGTCGATCTTCAAGCACTTTGCGTCGCATATCGGGGATGTACGCGCTTGATAGAAATGGCGTTCGCAGTAGGAACAGATCTGTTGTAACCAACTTGCCTCTGATTGAGGGGCGCATGCACCGCCTGCGCATCAACTCCAGCGCCCTGCTTGATGCCTGCCTTGGCGATATATAAACAGCACATCTTCGTTGGTTGTCCGGCTTTTCCAACCACGCCGGTCGTCGTTCGGTTCACTTTCAGGCAGGCCCACTTTTTTCTTCACTTCTACCGCTTTCTTTCTTTATTCTTCTCGCCTGTCTACGACCTTTTACACAATCCACACTTTCTTTTACGACATCCTCAACAATTATGGCAACCAGTCTTAGCTATCTCGCACCGGTGTACAACACCCCCAGCCCGAGTGCCGTTGTCGCAGCCGTGCCCACGTCTGCGGTTGGATCCTCGTCGGCCACTTCTGCCATCGCGACCGCTAGTGCGACGATGAGCATGAACACCGCATCGCCTTCGGTCGCCGGTGCTGCGACGTCTGCCACTGCATCTGCTGCGCCGATGATGGCGGTCAGCACCGTGAAGAGCTTCCCGTTCCTGTATCACATCAACATCCTCATCCTCGTCCTCTTCGCGATCTTTTTCGTGGCGATGCTCCCGCGCGTCATCTCCGCACGCCTCGCGCCTCGTGCGCGCTTCACCGGCTTCTTCCTCCTGTCCGGCGGAGGCTCTGCGAATACGCCGCCTGCGCGCCGTCCCGCGGAGAACTTGCAACATGACGAGGACGACACTCAGACGCTGCACAATAACAACCCGTTCGAAGACGGACAGAGCATGATGATGCCGCGCGACGTTTCACCAGTGGTATTCGGCACGCCCGGGGGCCTCGGCGGTACGGGGCCTATGCGTGTACGCAGCCTCCTCTCGCTGCACCCGCTCCTTGGCGCGATTGCGAACTACTCCGTACTTCCGGGATGGCCCTTGCGCAAACTCGCGGTCTTCATCATCTACTTCGGAATCTACCTCTACGCGGGGCTGTACCGCAACAACCCGTTCGCATCGCCGTACCGCGCGGCTGTCCTCGCAGTGTCGCAAATCCCGTTGGTTGTGGCGTGCGTGATGAAGAACAACTTCATTCAGTACTTGACAGGCGTGGCATATGAGAAGGTGCGTGCTGTCTTCGTTTGATCACCGCCGAACAATTCTGACATGAATGTAGCTCAACTACATTCACCGCTTCGCTGGCCGCCTGATCGTACTGGCTATCAACGTTCACGCCCTGCAGTGGTTCTTCACATGGAACCGCACGCCCGGAAAGATCACCTCGGAGTACCAGACCGATCTCGTCCGCTGGGGCACCGTCGGTCTCGTAGCCGTCGACCTTCTCTTCGTCGGGAGCTTGCCTGCGGTTCGCGCGAAGAGCTACTCGCTCTTCCTCGCAACGCATGTTCTTGGATTCTTCTGGTTCGTGGTGGCGATGTACATCCACTACCCACAGACGCTGCCCTACTTCGTCACCGCGTTCGTATTCTACGGCTATGACCACATCGCCCGTGCGGCCCGCACTCGCGTCACCACCGCGTACATCACTCCCCAGCCGGCACTCAACGGCGGAAGCACACACGTTGCACTGCCTGGCCTTACAACCGGCTGGCGCGCTGGACAGCACGTCCGCATGCGGGTCGTGAACCCATCGCTGCCTACGGGTGTTGCCCTCCCTCTCGCTGTCCTCGCCTCGCGTATTCGCGCACACCCCTTCAGCGCAGCGAGCGCTCCCAACGCAAATGGCCTAGAGTTGATCATCAAGAAAGTTGGCGGAAGCACGCGCTCGCTTTATAGCCTGGCCGGTGGTGAAGAAGCGGCACTCAACGAGAAGAAGGCGGGAATGGGGATGCTCGCGGATCCGGAAGCGGCGTTCGACGCGCGGCGTGTGAAGGTCGTGGTGGAGGGCCCCTACAGCGGTCCTGCGGCGCGTTTCGAAGCGTACTCTGGCCTTGTGCTGGTTGCGGGAGGGAGTGGTATCACGTACACTCTCTCGCTGTTGCAGGATCTGCTTGCCGTGCATGCGCAAGGTGGCGCGGCCACGCGCGTCGTTGAGCTTGTGTGGTCAATCACGGACCCCGGCTCGCTCGTCGCGCTACTGCCTACGCTGCGGGAGATTCTCCAGCCCCGCGCGGCGCCCGCCGCTTCGTTGCAGTTGCGTATCCGTGTGCACTACACTCGTGCACCACGCACGCCGCCGCCTCCTGCGGATCTGTTGCCCGCGGGGCTTGCCCTGCTGCCGGGACGGCCGAGCTATGGACGTATCATCGAAGATGCGTGTGACGCAGTACGCGACTCAGTACAAGGCAGTCCGCGGGGTCTTGCGGTGACGCACTGTGGACCTGGAGAGCTTGGCTCACAGATACACGGCGCTGTTGGAAACTTGAGCTGGTCGAGGTGGAAGGAGGCTGGTGGCGTAGAGGTGCATGCCGAGTCGTTTGGATGGTGAACGTACGTAGACGCGGGTCGTCTGCGTACGCTACCAACCACCCTGTTTTGCAACGACCCGCATGCGCTGTAGACTAACCCTTACGATGTTGTATCATACTGTACAATGGATGGAATCTGGATCTCTGGTTTCTACTTACATTTCATTCGATTGAGTCATGACTGTCATTGATCGTCCGGACTGAATCCTGAAGATGATCGCAAAAAATTATTGGTTCTTGCCAGTGCTTTATACGACGCGATAAGAATCGCCAGTGAAGTCTGTATGATTCGTGAAATATTGTCTGTGGCCGCCGGAACTCGGGATCAAGAGGCGGCCTACGCGAGTCCTGCTCGTCAGCGGAAAGCCGGCGCGGTTTGATGCAGCCAGGGCGCAGCAGATTCTTCAACTCGCCCTGCATTCGACCTCCCTGCACCTTGCCTCCTGCCCTCATCATCCGCTTCCTTCCGTCGCCTTTTCGTCGTCTCTGTCGCTCCTCGCGCGTGTACCACCACACGGCGAAATAGAAATTCATAAAGGATAACCGGCGATATTCCCGCAACAAACACGTCTGTAGGCATGGCAACAACAACGGCACAGTCTCAGAGGTCGGGCAAGAGGGCGTCGTCGGTCAAGAGCAAGAGCGTGGAGAGGGACATGAGGAAGGACCAGGCGCTGCGGGCCTCGGGCTGGGGTACGACCTTCACGGGCGAAATGGCACCATACGGCGAACCGCGTGGTCCTATTGCTGGTCTCCTCTTCCGCTGGCGTCTCTGGTTCGAGAGTACATTTGTATTCACACTGCTGGAGCCTTGGGAGAAGGGCCTATTGCGTGAGCATCTATTTGCTACTGTCATTGAAGCATAGCCATCTGATGCGCGATGACAGTCGTGATCGCAGGTGTCATCTTCACCCTGTTGGCCATCGGTATCTTCAGATACCTCCCTCAGCATATGGCCTTCCTCTACCGACGTGCTACATATTACTTCCTCGGTAGCGAGTCAGCGTCCGGCTTCAGCTCTAGCGCACTTGCCCATTGAGGATACACTTTGGGACGACTGGAGCCACGCATAGAGAACATATAGAATGTCCACCCCACCTCGTTTCTCTATCTGTCCCAGAAGTCATTAGCGTGCGGACGTTCTTGGATAGTAGAGGTAAGTCACGATCATACACGTCCTACTCTCCTGGGCGGGACTAATTGTTTCTCAGATATACCCATATAATGTATACACTTGATGTAACTCACGCATACACGCGCCGCCGCCAAGGTCACATACAATCGTAGAGGCGAACCGATGTGCGTTGCCGTGGCCATTGCGATGTGTGATGGTTGGATCATGATAGGTCAAGATGGTTGAATGACTGCGTACCTCCAGAGCAGCATCCTTGCAGCCATGGGAGCGTCCCGGACATATCAGCTCTGCACACCGTGTGCTTCGTCGACGACTCGTTCCCTGATTCACTGCGCGGTGCAAGCTCAGGCCGAACCACACGTGATGCCTGTTTTCTGGCTTACGTTTATTCCGCCCTTCTTCCCGCGCTCCGGCCGTCCTCCGGGCTTTGCCTTGGACATCTTGCCGCCGGCCTCATGGCACTCAAGCGGCCCGTAGGCGCTCTTTCTGGCCCTACTCCGTTAGTCCTGCAAAGCTCTACGCCGATGAGCGCTCTAAACTAAGTTCCCGTCGACATCACGTCGGACGTTCGGGCTGAAACGGCGGAACGCCTCGGTCTGCACGACTCCCGAATATAGTTCGTCTCGTTGATCTCTCATCCACCGCCGCCCGACTGTGGTCTTTGCGATTATATATAAGCCGGTTACTAACGCCCTTCGCCTCTGCAGGTCTCCTCCCGCACCCTCTTCAATCCGCCTACCTCTATTCCTGGCTGTCGCTCTCCCCAGACACGCCACCTCTTGTTGCGGAACCCAAGTCCGGTACTCGGCGACTGTGTATACGCCTTTCGCCACCTCTTCGACAGTCTGCGAACTCCTACAACCATGTCATACTCCCGCTGCAGCATCGCCGATAACGACGTCACCTACCGGCCAATGAGCAGTCTCTTTACCCTGGAGCTGCCTTACAAGCCTCCGAGCTCGCCTCTGGGACGCATGCTCTGGCGATGGCGGATGTGGGTCGAAATTACCCTCGGCGCCAGTGTGCTCTCGCCCGGAGAGAAGATCGCGTTCAGTGCGTGCCCTCCCTCGCTTCCCGCTCATGCCCGCTCTGACATCTAGCGCGCGCTTCCGTTCACAGTGATGGTCTGGGCGCTTATCCTCTCGCTCCTTGCGTACGCCGCAGTGGTGATCATTCCCGCCGCGCTCATCGCCGCTCATGCACGCACACTATTCTACGTCTTCGGCGAGGTCGGATCGCAGAGGCTTCAGGTGCTGCACAAGCCCGTCGCGGGATGGGTGCACGCCATTGCAGTCGCATCCCAAGGTGTCGTCGCACGCGCACATAACGCGACAGCGACCGCCGGGCTCTAAGCTTCAAGCTGGGTATCGGTCGGAATCTCCGTCCATCCTCGGCGCCTGTTGCGCATCGCGTATCATGACAAATTCACGACGGAGATCACGCCGATTAGGCAAGGGTATATATTGGTTGGTAGTAGGCTGGGAGGAACCTTGTTGTCGGCGGAGGTCGCACATGCCAGCGCTTGTATACGGTTTTCCTGTTTCTTTTTGCTTTCCTTTGGGTGTCTCCCTCGTTCCTGTTTGTTGCATGCTTGTTTTTTGTTTTCACCCTGCTGTATCAATATCATGACGCCTGCTCCTGCCTACTGTGTGCTTTGACCGACCCACATCCCGGTGCGATGATGATGAGATACATGAGGTTCACCTGGTCAAGTATGCTGAGCCTCGCGCTTCGATTTCCTCCGTGCGCTCCGTGGAGAGCCAATCTACTCGATCTTTCTCCAGCACACGCCCACGCACAGAAATACGACATGACGCTCACATGTTTATTCGTAACTCCGTCCCCGAACGGCACCAATGCCCTTACCAGCAATTCGGACAAAGGCCAAATACGGTTCCATGCGCGGTGATTGATCAACTTGAGGCCGTGCCGTAGGCCGCCGAAGATGCCGCGCGCATCCCGCAGACTGAATGGGAAGTCGATGCTGAACAACGCGACAGATGAGCGGGCGGCGGGCGCCTGTCAGGCTGACAACAACATTCATGTCAGGCCTCCAAACCGACTGTCGCCCCTGGGCATACAGCGTTGGCGACGTCTGCATCGACGATGAGGGGTTCCTTCGTGAGGCTGATTCATTGAATCGTGTCGTGTGGCGAGTGCAACGACAACGCGGTCTCACCCGGACACGCTCTCGGAGGAGGACGTCCCGACGTTCTCGGCACTGTTTGCCGCCGAGCTGCCTTACGAGCCGCCTCACTCAGCCATCGGCCGACGGTTGCGCTCCAGAACGACAACGACTTCAACTCAAGATCACCTTTGGTGCATCGGTACCCTTTACTAGGAGAAGCTTTTGTTCGGTATGGACCACGCCTAATATCTTACAAGACAATGTATATAGTGCACTCGCCACAGATAGTAGATGATGGAAGAGAGACGAGGTTATACTAAACCGGCCGCGGAAAGCGCCTCCAAGAATGCCTTCAAGTGCTTCACTCTCTCCCTGCAAATCTCCGGATAAAACGCCAGGAACCCTTTCTCTCCCACTACAAAGTGATACAAGGGAGTAGATGGCGTCGGGCCTGCGAACCGATTCAATGTTGCCTCGATATTGTCGTCGCTGAGCTGTTCAGAGTCCACACTACCCCAAGCATCCTTGCTCTTCTGGACGTATTCCGTCAAGAAGCTGCCGTGACCGCACACTTTCGTGACGAAGGTTGCAATCTCTACGCCGACGGGCTGGAAATCAGGTTTCCGAGCTGCGCGTGCGATGAGCCTATGGACAAGCTGTCCGTAACGGTGCTCAGTAAAGTTCTCGGAGCGTAGAGCTTCACAGAACGCGGCTACGCTAGCCAGCTCGATAGATTCGAAGGCTTTGTCGAAGCGTGCGTTCTTTAAATTCGTTATCAGAGTCAGCCTATCGTCCGCGGTATATGGTACGTAGCCGTGTGGAATGAGTGAGGACACAAGGTTGGGGAATTCTGTAGACACCAGCGTGCCCGATGCTCTGGGAGAGCTTGCGCTCCTCGTGGTATTGATGGGATGTGAGGCAGTCATCTCTGGCGGGCTGGCGGCTCCTTCCACGAGAGAATGATGTTCCGAGGTAGTGATGGACGAAGTATCCGTATGCGGTGAGGAGAGCGAAGCAGGTGTTGCGTCAGCGCCTTTCAGTATGTGTTCGTGGACGTAGCGGAGCACTATTTGCTCATCGACAGGCAAGCTCTGTCTAGCAACGCTTTCGCGGGCAGTTGTGATCTGTGCCACATCTTTGAGATCGAGAACGCGCATCTCGTCCCAAGTCAACGGCTGTTCGCGCATGATAAGGCTGGCGAAGGCTCGGGGAAGCCAATCCGTGATATAAAACTCGCGAGCGAGTACGAGACGGTCCACGGGCTGAACGCAGCGGTCGAGCTGCTGGATCGACAGCTGCTGTACAGCATCAAACTGCCACATGGTTGCAAAGCGCAGAACTGCGCTCCACTCTGCTGCAGTCTCGACTTCGTGGCGCGTGAAGTTTCTGTATACAAACGCGGAGATAAGCCGTCGTATGTCCCGGCGAACAATGCTTCAAGACGTACCTGGGGTATACAACAGACAAAAAGCTCGCAAGATCATTGGCTGTCTTGTCGTTGATCTCGTGTATAGCATCAGACGAGTCGGACCGCGACTGGAGCTTCTGCGCCCAGAACGGAGAGAGAGAAGCGAAAACGGAGCCGTGGACGCGGAACAGCGTCCCCTTAACCTATTAGTGACTCCTCAGCCAAAGCTTATGTCTAATTTACACGTAGAACGCATACCATGACGGAAAGCGAGCCATCTTCATAGTAGAATCGTGAGTGTTTGACTTCATCGCTGGCGCCTGAGGTGGACACGCGCGAAGGTTGCTCTGCGTCCGACGCCACACTCGAGGACGATATAGCATCTGACTCTGACAGATCATCAACAGAGACAACTGAGGGTGGGCCAGATAAGGTGGTTGAAGGCATGGTGATGGTCAGGACGCAGATATCGACTCGCGACTCGCAAGTGTGGCGTTCTCAACTTCTCAACAACGCCTCGTGGGAGGAATCCAGGTTAGGGTTAGCGCCACACGCGTATGGTGACCATATGTCGGTGTTCTCCTCGTATCAGATAGTTCCCCATGCGTCTCAAGAAACCAATAGTCAGCTATATACTAGACTGTGAGGTTCGGATTAGTCAGTAGTATTTTATTCCCGCTTTTTCGTGATACGATGAGGCTGTTGACAGCCAATCCCACGATTCACTATCGCCGCGGAGTCGATGCGACTGCTTACTTGAAGGTGAATTGAGATATCTGCTAGAATACGTTATTACACCGTGGACTATGCGAGTATGCGTGAGCGGCGGCCGAACGAGTATCAGACAGTCTGAACAATGAGCATCGGCAACGGTGGCGCGACAGTCCTTCTTACGGACCATTCAGGGATGCAAAAATGAAGTGGGAAGTATGACGATAGTCCGCAGAGGGTTGCACATAGCGTCTGGTTAACATTTGACGCGTGACGTTGCAACGCTATCGAGGCACAGGAGAACACAATGGACAAACATTGCCAGCAAAGCAAGATGCATTGACAAGATTAAAGCGCTGTACCATATCAAACCCCTCCAAGCAACTTCTACTGCCTATTCTCCGGCTCGCGTGCCATCTGCCTCTTACTCCTCATCCTAGGCCTGACCCGTGCATACCATTCCCAAGCCCTACGCACGACATCACCGTCGGCATCGTACGGCGTGGGGATTTCGGAGTAGCCCGGACGCGCCGTTGGATGGCGGACGTAAATGAAGGAGCATGTCTGGTAGGACACTTCGAGGTAGGCGGGGAGGAAGAGGAAGGGCGAGGCATAGGGCGGTAGGTGGAAGGATTTGTCGTGTAGGGCCGAGGCGTCGGTGGTGGATGCAGGTGTGGAAGAGGTGGAAGCCTCGTCCTCAGAGGTTTCCTTGGGTGCTTCTTCAGAGGCAGCCTTGGCCTTTCGCCTGTCCTGGATGAAGGGAATCATGGTTGGGTCCACGGACACCATGTCACCCGGTGCCAGACGCGTGTTCGGGTTTGGATGCTGGCCAGCAGTAAGCACGTGCCTGTCATTAACAAATATGAAGGGCGTACTTTGCGACCGTTGAGCTGGACATAGCCGTGGACGACCAGCCTGCGGGCGTCGTACACGCTCCTCGCCAAATTCGCACGGAATATAAGCACGTCGATTCTCCTCTCTATTTCTGCCAGCATCAAGCTTCCAACAGGCGCGATACCCTCGCCCTGCTCCTCTGCGCCGTCCTCCTGCTTCTTCCTGGCCTTCTCCATGCCGTCCCTGGCCCTGCTCCCGCCCACAAACTTCTCGTTCTCGCCAAACACCCTCAACGGCTCTCTCGGCCGCACATCCGGCAACGTCCGCGGCAAGTACCAGCGCTTGAACGCCTTTTCGTTGACAAAGTCGCCGTGGTAGGCGCGGATGAGTTTCTTGGAGAGCCAGCGCTGCTGGAAGAGCGTGGCGGGCGTCTGGTCAAAGTCGGATTGTCGGGTCAGGTCGCCGGTTTGGCGCCGGGAGAGGTTGTACAGGTTCTGGGGCGACCAGGACATGCGCGGGAGGGCGCGCCGGAAGGAGAAGACGTCTTTGTCCCGCATTTGCGCGGGAAGGGTGGGGCGCATGGCTGGTCGAGGCAAGCCAGCGAGGCGCGTCGCCTCAGAAGTTAGACGCGACTTCGGGTGGCCGGGCCGACGCTGGGATTGATGGCTTGTTGAGAGACGCGTCGCGTTGATTGAGCAGCTCTTGGAGAAGCACCACCATGAACGTGCCGTACACACCCAGACCGCGTACGACTGCGCGAAAGAAGAACTTGACGCTGAGTGCGAAGGAGTACAACAAGGTCGGCTATGATATTCTCTGTCGGACGATGTGCGATTGAGGTTCTGATGGCAGGTTAGCAGCACTATCGCCTCGGTTCGGCGCAATCGAGAGAGGTTGGACGGAGATGACGAGTATGCTACTCGGAGAGGTATATCAACTGCTCTGAGAATATGTAACGTGGCACTGAACCCGAACATAGACCACGAGCCATCATTCATCGCTGAAGAGTCCTTCGTCCGCGCACCCCTCAACTCGCGCGTCTCCGGTCTCGCACAACCGAGTCCAAAGGCAAAGGGCAAAGAACGCGCCGAGAAGCTTGACACGCTGCCTCTGGAAGTGCAAGAGGCGCTTATACTCGAGGATCTTCTCTTCGTCTTGATGGTAAGCGCTTACTGCTCAAATGAGGCAATCATGTAACTAAAGAGCGTAGGGCATCGAAGGCACGCATATTACGTTCCACGACGACTACTCGCCACAAGACGACGACCCACTCGAAGGGGTCAAGTTTGTCGTCGACCGGTCTCTCGATCCCTCACTACGCGATCTGGCCGAGCGCGTCTTACCACTGGCAACATATTACACGGCGATAACGGCCTTTATCGAGCAGCGCGCCCACGCGGACTATGGGCTGGTAAACCACGCACTATGCGCTCGAATGCGCGACATGCTCCGAGACTACCAAACCCTCCTCGCACAACTCGAACACGCCTTCTCATCGTCGTCCTCCTTCAGCCTTCAAAAGCTCTGGTTCTACGTCCACCCCACAGTCCACACCCTCGCCCTGCTCTACCACCTCACCCTGGCTCTGGCTCATGCAGACGACGCGCCCGACGACGAAGAGAACTCCCAATCCTCCGAAGACGACGATCTCGCCGCACGCGATGCAGCACTAGGCCTCACACCCCTCAATCCCAACCTCTTCTCTTCATCCGCCACGACCGCCCCGATCCCCGTCAAAGGCGGCGAAGTCCTCTCGATCCTCCACGCGCGCGCTCAATCCCTCTCCGGCGACCCCGCCGCGCGAAGCTTGTACGCTGCCCTTTTGACAGCTGCAGGACGACCATATGTGGATATTGTGAGAGGGTGGACGAGAATGGGAAGGCTGGACGATCCGTATGAGGAAGTGTGCGTGAAAGAGGCGAGGTTCATCACGAGGGGCACGTTGGATATGGATTATACGGACGAGTACTGGGAACGCCGATACACCCTTCGCGACGGCTCGACAGTATCTTTGGATCGCCGTACACATACGCCCGCGCCATCTGCGGGTATACCGCCACCAAGAGCGCTTTCGGGAAGGCTTCCCGGAGGCGCATGCGTACCGCCCGCGCTCGAAGGATGGAAACACAAGATCCTGCTCGCAGGGAAGTATCTGAACGTGATACGCGAATGCGGGATCGATATCGCGCGGCCGGATTCGCCGCCGCCGGCTGAGAATGCGCCGAGGAGCGTAAATGGAGAGGCGAGGGAGGAGGAGCAGTTAGGGCTGCACTCGGCTGTGTTTTTGCGAGGGTTGGAGGCGGACTATGCGTTTGCGAATACGACGCTTCTTGCGCGGTTGCTCGCACCTGGACCGGGTGGCTTGCTGGCAAGACTCCGCGCGTTGCGGAGGTACCTCTTCCTCGCGCACGCACCCTTTCTCCCGCACTTCCTCGAACTCGCTGCGTCAGAGTTGCGAAGACCGGCCAGGGCAGCGAGCATTGGCCGATTACAGAGTCTACTCGAGCTCGCGCTAAACGCCGACGCGCACGGCGACGACGCCGAAGTCAAAGGCGACCTCAAAATCGTCCTCGCCGGCAGCGCCCTAACCGACTTCCTCATCAAGATCGTCCAAGAAAAAGGCGACATCGCGCACATCCAGCAGGACGGCGCGCAGTCCGAGGCCGGCGGCGGCGAGAAGAAAGAAAAAGAAAAGCTCACGGCGCTCGACGCGCTGAGCCTGGACTTTGCCGTGCCGTTTCCGCTGAGTCTCGTTGTGAGCAGGAAGACGGTGCTGAGGTACCAGCTCATATTCCGCTTTCTGCTGCACCTCAAGCAGCTCGAGCAGTCGCTCTCTACGATGTGGCTCGACCACAAGTCGTCAGCCTGGCGCACGCTCCCTTCGCACGCCTCGGCGGACTTTGAGCGCTGGCGCCGGCGCGTCGCGTTGTTGAGGCTGCGGATGTTGTCTTTCGTGCAGCAGTTGCTGGCGTATGTCACGAGCGAGGTTATTGAGCCTAATTGGCGAAGGTTCGAGGAGAGGCTGGGCGGTGTGAAGACGGTCGATGCGCTGTTGAGGGACCATGTGGATTTTTTGGATACGTGTAGTAAGGAGTGTATGATGACGAGTGATGCGAAGCTGCTCAAGGTGCGCTTGCTACTCTCCCACCTGTAGAAGACGAGTGCTAATAAGACTGTGTATAGGCGCATGGACGGCTCGTGACGGTGTGCCAGACATTCGTGCTGTACTCCGCGCCCTTCACCAAAGCCGCGACGCTTGCGATGGCGCCCGACGGCGAGAGCTCCGACGCGATCCGCAAGCGATGGGATACGCTCGGCAGGTTCGAGATCCACTTCGACCGCTGGTGAGCCTTCTCTTCCCATATTGATCTCGGTCAACGCAGTCCGTGCTGATACTTTCGATGCAGGTTCGAGGAGTACTTGGGCTGTGTGCAGCTAAACGCGAGTCGGGAGAACGTCGCGCTTTTGCCGCTTGTGTTGAGGTTGCATAGTATTAAGCGACCGGGTGCCGCTTCTGGTGCACCGAGTACATAGTTTCTGTTGTTTTCTTGTCGTACTTTTCGTCTCGATGCTTTCTTGATCCTGCGTGGTGTATCAATTCGCTTGCGTTGTAGATGGATGTTGACTATCCATCGCTGTACATACAGTCCGGGGAACCCTATACTCGCTGGTCTCTTATCAGAACACCTTGCATCATATGCGGCACAGTAAGAGCACTGCCAGCATTGGAAAAGAAGGCCCAGAGTGAAGATCCGGGTTCGATCGGGCCGGCCACCCAATTAATGGGCGTGGCACTTACCCTAACCCGAATTCCCTCCCACGAGGCATTCTGAACGCCACACTTGGGTCGCTCGTGTCTCCCGGCCACCACCATGTCTTCAGTCGCCATGTCCGGCCCGCCCTCTGTCGTGTCTATGGGCGATTTTTCAGAGTCTGATATTGACTCTGCGTCGAGTGCTGCCCCGGCTGCGGAACCTCACCCGTCGGGAGCGATGATGCTTGGGGTCACCGTTGTGGTCAAGCACCCACGCTTTTACGATGAAGAAGGCTCGTTGACGCTTGCGGTGAGTCATCCTTTATGCTTCCTCACTGCTGTCCTCCCCTTGCTGAAGTGCCTTTCAAGGTCGGTTCAACCCTGTTCCGCGTCCATGCTTTCGTATTCGCCACGCTTTCTCCCTACTGGAAAGATAGAATCCAATCAGCATCGTTTGGTACTGAGTCTCCGTACGGTACTGTATATTATGCCGACAACTTCAACCGATCCGAGATGGAGAGCTTCTTGTCCGTCGTGTATCCAAGGTGCGCGTGCCTGTGTCCTGATGCATATTACCGGCGCGCTGAAGTTCTGCGTCAGTGTCTTTGATGGACCGGAGGTCAATGGCGTCGCTGCATGGACGGGTGTCCTGCGTGTGGCTACGTTGTGGCGCTTCGACGCTGTCAAGCGGGCGGCTATTCAGCAACTCGACGCTTATGTCTCGCCTCTGCAGCGACTCGAATTGGGGCAAATCCATAACATCGTGCCCTGGATCGAGAGGGCCTTTGTCGAGCTGATACGGCAGCAGGAGCTACCTAGCGGGGAAGAGTTGGAAGACATCAACTTGACGCTCCACGACCTTCTTCACATTGCGCGCGCTCGAGAGGCGGTTACAAAGGGATTCCTGAGCGATGACGAGGAGTCGCTCCTTCGCCACGTTCACGAAGAGATCCTTGTAGTTTCATCCACATCAGCCGCTGGCCCACCATCATCGACTGCCGTCCCACCTTCAATCACAGGCCCTGCTCCCGGCCCTCCTATAGCGTCTTCTACCCTCGTTGAAGGATCGGTTTCGCCTGCTACACCAGACACTAATGCGAAGTCTGCCGCCGGCAACCTGAATCAGGTACGCGCGGCAGAGACTCCAACAGCCCGCACTTCCCGGCCCGATCCCGTGCCTTCTATGGACGTTTACCGCTCATACCCCACATCCGAGTTACCAAACGTCCTTAATGCTCTACGGAGTGATAATCTTTATCTGGCCTTTGAATCCCTGCCACTTGGCAGCATTGCAGCATTCTGCGCCATACTCGTGCGTTGTCAAGACTATCCGTCTGTGCGCCCTCAAAGCATCATCCCCGCGCTCTTTATTCGCACCGCTCGTGAACCCCGTTTCAACGAAGCTGGAGTACAGATTATCCGCTTTTTGGGGACGATCTGGAGGTCAGATGAACATCAATATCAGCAGGAGATCGATGGCCATGTCAAGCTGGTGCAAGGCCTATTTGCCCACCTGGACCAGCTCGACCCTGCCGATGTCACGATCGACAAGATCATGAAGGCTTATACATCCAACAGCGGTGATGTCAATGTTGTATGGACTATGCTTGGAGCGAAGGAAGTCTTGGACTTTTATCCGGACATGCTTCGGGAGAGGGTTGCTAATTTGAGAGCGCTCGTGGCATCTCTCACAGAAGCCCATGTCATTGACTGAGACTGGATGTTCGTATCTCTCGAGAACGCTGACTCCCTGTACTTGTACCATATCAGATATATATCCTCTCACGACTGTACCGAACTCGGATAGTAACTCTTATTGCTAGCGAACAATACAGAATTCGCTAGTCGCTACGATGATTGTCTGCTCTAACAATCCTGATTCCTGAAATCCACGGCCTCTTAGAGTCCGTCAGAAGAATAGCTCGCAACTCCGTCTGCGTCGGAACGGCAGAGAGGGGCGCGATCAACTGAACTCGGGAAACTCACATGATCGTGTTTCGTTCGAGACGCGTAACAGAGCAGCTCCTGCCGTCTTGCTCTCGACCACCAGTCTACAGTGCATGCTCGAGTCGATCAGGACGCAGGATCCCGAGGGAATCCATCAAGACGACATGTCTCTTCCAGACCTTGCTGAGTCTGACATCGAGTCTATCTCGTCGACCAGCACGCGCAGCGAACAGGTGCCTACCGCGCAGACCGAGGGCGAACGCGTAGGGAACGTACCAACGGCAGCACACGAGGGTCCGAAACATGCACGCTTCTTCTTCGATGGAAACCTCATTACATTCTTGGTACGCTGTATACCGTAGATTGTCATGAATGATGCTGATGGAGAGAGCAAGGTCGAGGGCACCCTTTACCGAGTTCATGAATATCTATTCACGACAAACTCTACCTTCTGGGCTGACAAACTTCGCGAGCGGGAAGACAAGACGGCTGTCATCGAACTGGAAGATGTTGTCTCGCGTGACATGGATGCTCTTCTGAGTATCCTCTACGATGCGTACGTGTATGCGGTAATCTTGCCAGGCCCACTCTTGACGTCCTCCTCCGCAGGAGCTTCCACCAATATGACTTGAAGACGTCAGAGGCCTGGGAGTCAGTTCTACGTTTGGCGACGCGCTGGAAGTTTGACAATATTCGCTCCCTTGCCATCCTCAAGCTCGACCCACTTGCACCTCCGATACAGCAGCTTGTCATGGCGCGAGCTTTCGACGTGCCCAAATGGCTTCAACCATCCCTCGTCGCTCTTTGTATGCGGTCCAGCCCACTCACCGTATCAGAGTGCAAGCAGCTTTCGCCTGAGGACATCGTTTCTATCATGTCTACGCGTGAAGCCGTACGACAGAAGACACAATCGACCCCGAACGAGCAGGACGTGTCGTCCTACGTCGCTCGACACGTATTGCACACGGAGCCCATCGATCCCCCCTCCAAAGCGGCGACGTCTACCTTGAAGACTACAGCACATGCTGCTACTCTCACTCCAAAGGCATCGATATCTTCGGCAACCAGACCACTATCCTCGCTTTCTCTCCCTCCTATCAAACCAGTGGCAACCGTGCGACCGGTAGCAGCCCCACTCTTGAAGGTGCTTGATACTCCTGCGTTCTTAGCCATCCCTTCGGCGCAAAATATACAACACCTACTGGCAGCGGTTAACAAATCGGATTTCGACTCTCTGCTCTCTATGGCAACCGAAGATGGAACCAAGGCATTCATCGATGCACTGAGCGATTTCACCGCCATAAAGCAGGATTTCACTCTCTGCGAGAAGCTAGTCATCGCCATCCTACGCCGTAGCTCAAAGTACTCGACTTTTGTCCCCGTTGGTGCACGACTGTTATCTTCAATGTCTGCCGTAGGCCAACTGTACTGCGGTCCCTCCGGCATTCATCTGAAAACCTTCTTGACGAACCGCGCGACCCTCTCGGAGAAAACGGACGAGGCAATGAGTCAAATCAGGTCGCGTTTCGGAGATTTCACACTCGCCGTACAACATGTTACGAGAACGCGCACGCCGGGATCTCCGCATGCCTTCTTCGATATTCTAAGTGCAGGTGGCATATCACGACTCGACGCAGCGCTCTACGATGAGCGGTATGCCAACTTGAAAGGCCTGTTCTCACGTCTTAGAGCAGAGCATGTTTTATAGGAATATAATCCAATCAACCATTATAATGATGTCATCCCATGAGTGGATGTTGCGTCCAATGGAAATCTGCATGATACGCGTCAATCAAGCGTGTAATGGTGTTCAACAGCCGAAGATCTCCAGGTTGGCAAACTGCGACTGTGAATTCCGCGATTCATCACTCATGATATATAGGTATGAAAGACTACCAGCTGGCGTTAGAATCCATGATGGACTAGTAAGGGGATAATCGCGACCCGGTACTCTCGCTCGCGCATGGTGCGCAGCATCGCTGAGAGCGTTAATACTGCAAGATATGCAGGGTAAAGTCACGACTTCATACCTGTCCGTATATCTCAGTGCTAGACGTATCAAATCATCCAATCCGCCACCTCCCCTAACATATCGGTCACCAAATTAGCTGCTCAAGGAATACGCGCGTGCACCCAGTCGGATCCGAATCGCTAACATCAACTTCCACTGTGCGCGCGGCACCGAGGATCTTAGGGGTTCCTTCTCTTCCGAGTCGTTGAGGGTGTTACATCACACCCGGCATCCGACACATAGACATTTCGGAAGCTGCCCTCATATGTCTTACACATATAGACGCTGAAGAGTATAAAAACACTTTGCCTTTGGGCTAGGGTCGCCCATCACTCGAACAACTACAACGCACTCAACAACTCAACGCATCCCACATCTTCATCATGCTCTCTTTCCGCAAGCTCTTCGTTCGCCCCGGCAAGTCTCAGAGCCGTGATGCTCAGAGCGGCTCTCAGCTCTCGCAGACGGGCTTTGCTTCACCCATGGTACGTCGAATCTCACTCAGACACAGTATGCATGGAGCCTTACACCATCTTCACAGCGACCGCCTTTGGAGCGCCGCCGTACCCCTTACCCCCGCCGCCGCAGGCGATTCGGCTCTTCCTCTACGCAAAGCTCGATTCCATTCTCATCAGGTCGAGCAGGCTATTCACCCTCCGATGCAGTTGAATCGTCCGAAAGCGATGAAGTGCCCGAGTCTTATCACGGCCTTCCGCGCCTCCTCTTTGATGCCGAAGTCGAAAGATGCCTCGCCGCGCTCGAATTCCAAACCGACGCCGTCTGGTCGCGGCTTGAAGAGGAAGAGAACAACATCATACGCATGACAGATCCTGAGCTCGACCTATTGTCAAGAAGGTTCGAAGAAGCGCTCGCAAGTGATCTGGACGATAGTGATGTGCGGGCTGGGCGCGTTCGCGTTCAGGGGACGATGTCGCGCAGGCTTGCTCTGAAGAAGCGGCTGGGATTCTAAGCCCCCTATGACGGATTATGCGTGTAGGTTTCGGCGAATGTATCTAAATATACCCATATACCCCATTTCGTGACTCCATGTGGTTCGTTGACGCGTCGATATGGATCAACGGCGTGCTCTTGTGAACTCACGTGCCCGCGTTTGCAACGTGTTTGAACAGGTTTGAGCCTGGTGGCCGATGTTCTCGCCAGCCATCATGCATCGGGGATCGCACAAGCGTACAGCTCATGAGCATTAGTAGATGCTCGTGTTCCAAGAGGAGTTGCTCTCAACCATGAACAAGGCTTCTGCCAAATCAGTCCGTTTCGGGAGTGCCAATAGTACAGTTTCGTCTAAAGCGAGACTGAGTACATGCACCATGATACACTAGTACATTCATATCTTGCCGTCGTAGAAAGGATAGTCCGTGTAGCCCTTCGGTCCCTTGGTGTAGAATGTGCTGCGGTCGTACTGCGTCAGCTCGACGTCCGCCTTCAGCCTCTTTGGCAGATCGGGGTTCGAGATGAAGTACCGCCCAAATGCGATCAATACGTTCTGAGAGTCCGCCTCCTGCTCCGCCGCCTCGAGAGCTGTATGGCGCTTGTATCCTCCTGCACGGATGAGAGGGCGTGGTGCCCATAGCTTGCGAATGAAGTCATTGCTGTCGTTCTCCCCGCCCTTGTCCGTGTCGTTGTTTCCGCTGACTCTCGGTTCCACCACATGGACGTACGCCAGATTCGGGTGGCGCTCAACGAGCTGCTCGATGAGCGCAGTGAAGACGGGGATGGGGTCCTCCTCGCGCATTCCTTGGAAGGGTGACCAAGGACTAAATCTGATCGCGGTACGCTCCTGTCCTACTGCGTCGGTGATTGCTTGTACAACCTCCAGAGGGAAGCGTATCCGGTTCTCGATGCTTCCGCCATATTCGTCTGTGCGCTTGTTCGAGTTGGTCTGGATGAACTGGTCGAGCAGATAGCCGTTCGCAGAGTGAATCTCGACTCCTAGACGTTCGAGGCCTTCGTCAGACTGGGCGGCACAAGGCAAACGAAGGCATTGCCACAAACCATCAAAGCCAGCACCCTCTACAGCGTTCTGCGCAGCTTTTGCGTACAACTGCGCATATTCCTTGATCTCGTCGACCGTGAGCGGTCTCGGTACAGGTCGGTCGGGTCGATCAGGGATCGGTATTGCGCTTGCGCTGACCACGTCAAAAGGCCCCTCCTTCTGGAGAAGCTCAGCGTCGGCCGAGCGGCCCAATGCCCACAACTGTAAGAATATGCTGCTGCCGTTCGCATGGACGGCGTCGACGATCTATATTGCGTCATACGTCGTCAGAGCACGCAAGTGTGATGTACGGCGGGAAACGCACCTTCTTCCATGCCGCGACTTGAGCATCGTTCCATACACCAGGGACAGTGGTGTATCCGCCGGCCTGCACTGCAATGAAGGTGCCCTCGGTGATGAGTAGCGTCCCGGGTGTGCTGGACCTTTGCGTGTAGTACTCGACGGCAAGGTCGGTGTGCACATGCAAGTCGTCGGCCCGGCGGCGCGTGAGAGGCGCGAGTACGACGCGGTGTTCGAGCTTCGCCTTTCCCACCTGGATGGGAGTGAATAGCCGAGGTGGTGACGGTGAAGACCAGAGGACGCCCATGGCGCGAAGGATGCGATAACGGTGGAGAGAGCTGCAGGTCGATCTCGTTATATAGGCGCTAAGCATTTAGACATTGATAGATAGCGTGAGAGCACGAGAAGCACTTGTGCTGACAGATCAGTCCGCTTATAGCGACATAGTGTCAGTCAGCGAAGTTGTCCCACGTATCTTCCAGATGGAAAGGGACGCCTTGGAACGGTTGGGAGCGCGATTGGTCGCGGATGGATCTGCGAACGTGAGAACTCAAGCGCCACCCGAAGTACAGAGGCGAGTACATTGTGATTCAGCAGTATGTAGGTTAGATGCGAGCAGAAAGCGATAGCAGGTAAACAATGTGAAGCAATATGAAAAGCGATACAACACCATAACCGCAGTAACTGACGACAGAGGCACAGTAACGGCAGCGCTATGTGCGAACGAGGCCGCGCCCCATCCGGACAATCTCATCAACGACGGCAGCCTCGTTTAGGACTACGAGCGCGGTATCCTTGTCCTTCCCTTTCTTCGCCTTTTGAGTGTTGGCGTCGACCTGCTATGTATGTCCATCAGTCAGGGTTAAGGACGAGCGGGACCAAAACATACCTCATCCTGAACAGGGATTGATGAGAATCGGCCCAGGACACGCCATGGCCGGGGCTCCCGAAGAGAAGGTTCCCACACTCCACCGACGCGAGTGCCGCCTAATGGATCGTAGAAGAGTCGAAGGGTGTCCGCATACACGTTTCGGAGGTCCGTCACGAACGCCCGAGCGGGATTCCATCCGGGTCGCAGTTCAGTTCCACTATTTGCGAGCTCGATCGCGGTGTTCGCGTATTTCCCACGCTTACCCCAGGCGGTAGCGTCAGGGTTGACAGCCTCGAAGTGGCGAGGGAGCGCATTGGGATCGAGCTGCAGAACGAAATCGTAGTCGTCTGTGGGATGCACGAACAAGGCCTGCGGAAACAACATATTAGGCATTGTATGTGCCACCAAAAGGGGAGACACCGACCTGAACATCCACGCTACCCTCCTTCATCGCATCCCAAGTAGCCCTCGCAATCTCCCTCACGCGTCTCGCCACCAACGCGTCTGGTCCGCGCGCAGTCCACATCGTCCCCTTCTCATCTACGCCGGTCATGATGCGCCACACGCCACCCTTAACCTCGACCTCTACCGGAGCCTTTGCTTCGTCTGCCGTATGCAAGGGATCGGGCTCGTCGAAGAGCGGTACGCGCACACCAGCTGCCCAGTCCCAGCCTGCTAGCCAGCGCACAACGCGAGCAAAGCCGCGTTCTCTGCTTGCGGGTACATCGCCTACAAGAAACGCACGCGCTACCAGGAGCTCGACGGCTTCCTCGGTAATCATCCCACCTTCGCCTATAATGGTCTCAGAACATGGATGGTCTGAAGCTTAAGCGATAAACTCACCGGCATCGCTACCGATGTCGAGCAACCAATGCGCCGCCAGCCACCTCTTCACGAGCCTACAAGCGCCACCGAATGCGCTCTCCTTATGCCCAAGCGCAGCCAACGCGCGATGTAACCTCGGCCGCGCCACGAACGTCCTCTCATAGTGCTCCAAAGCGCTCTTAGCATTCTCCGCGTCCCTCTCGCCCTGCTTCATCTGCGCCTGCATCTCCTTCGGGATTTGCGCGGCGAGAGTCTTGGTCAGAGGCGTGTAAGAAGCAATAGTACGTTGGAGAAGCGTTGCGACGCGCGGATGGTCAATCGCGAGGCTGAACGCCCAACCATCTTTGGTGACGACCTCGAGTCGGGCATGGTCTTCCAACGGAGAAGCGCCGGGCGGCGGCACCGCCACGCGAGCTTTGACGCCCGGCATTGCGCCCGAACCCATAAGCGCGCGCGCTAAGCGCTCGAGCACGGCGAGCTTCATCTTTCCCGCGACAGCTACGTCATCCGGCCAGCGCCCCGCCCTCGCCAGCTCGAGTACGATGTCCATCGTTGGTACGTAGCTCGCTGCACTTGGTGCGCCTTGTACGGCCGCTAAGGGTGCCATCGGAGCGGTGCTGCGAAGATATGCTGAGGTGGGGGAGACGGCCGTAATAGACAACGGCATGTCTTCCTCGGGTAATGCTCGCAGCACCTTCGCGAACGCGTCGAATGCCGCGCGTGCGGGCGCGAAACCGGCTTGCCTTCCACCCAGCGCAACGATCTCCTTCGGCAACCTCAAGACCTGATCGAAACTAGCGCCCATACACACGACATCTTCCGCAGGAATGGAGAAGTGCCTGTTCAGGATGAATGTTGCGATTGTAGCGGGTAGTCGGGCGCGCGCGTCGGCGCTGTTCGCTACCGAATCCCAAACGGCAGCATGCGCGATAGATCCATCTTTGAATCGGCGCACTTCCGCGCGCTCGCCCCAGAGCGCTGTGAACTCCTTCTGGGACTCGGTCGACTCTTCACCGTCTTGCGTCGCAGCCGGACCAAGATCCACTAGGCGACCTGCATGTGCTGGATCGAATAGCAGGCCGACGACCAGTTCTGGCGGCGCAGAAACGTCCGGTTGATCGAGCGATCTTGGTGCGGCGGGTGCATGCAACAGCCCGAGCGCTTTGATGCGGGATCCCAGGGCAGCCGTGAGAGTTGAGGAGATGGAGTGGATAAGAGCGGCGGGGAGAGAGCCGTGCTCTGCGATTGCGAGCGGCGAGAGGTTGATGGGTTTTGCGTGCGCGAGTGAAATGTGGAGGACTGCGTCGAAGCGTGCTGGGAGTGGCCTTGCGTCGAGGAGGAAAGTCTGCGCGAAAAAGTCTGTGCCTTGCGGCTCGGCGGAGGCGTTGAGAACAGCCAGAGTAGTTTGAGCATCATGTTTGAGCTATTATATATATGATGAGCGCCGGTATCACAAGGAGATGCAATGAAACGTACGAGAGTCAGAGACGAGCGAGGTACGCCAGCAAGCACGTTAATGCGTGAAGAACTGTCCACGAGTGCAGGGCCATGGTGCTCCACATACTCATGAGGCGGGTAGCGGTGTCCTTCAGGAGCCTTGACGAACACGGGAGCAGCGTCCCAGTCGTGTTCCGCCAAGAACGCGAGGGCAGCGCGGAAGAGTTGGTAGCTGCTCAGCCCCTTCCCTAACGGCTTCCGATTTGCGCTTGACTTTGCGGAACCGGAGAAGGGCTCCTCGCCGCGGACGAGAGCCTCAAGTAGAGTGGGCCAGAAGTGGCCGCGGGATTCGAACCCGGCAACGGACGAAGCGCCGGCGCCGTATGCGCGCTGTGCGGCCCATACGCGCAGTAGCGCGAGGGCGTCGGCGTATGCTGGAGCATCTTCCTTCAGAGTGTGCGCCGCCAATAGATGTGCACGTGGAGTGGTCGCCTGCATGACCGAGGTATTGTACAATGGCGTCGGAGTGTTCTCATGTCCAGTAATGCGTAGATTTGCGCGATGGGGTGCAAGTTTGGCAAGGGCGATAGGGGAGTCGTTTGGTAGTATGGCAAACAGCCGTATGCGCACGTCGACCTTGGGAATCTTCGGATTCAATAGCAGGGCAGTAGCGCGAGCATCCGCACTGGGAGCCGACCACTGAACGTCGTAGCCTTTGCCGACTAAATGTGCAGCAAGGGCGGCGAGGAAGAAAGCTCGTTTGTGCGCGAATCTACCGTTCAAGTAGTCTTTCTCCTGGAATAGGCCTGATGACATCGTGAGAGCCAAGTCCAGAGTCCATGGTAAACCGTCTGGCGGTTTGACAGACGTCTGCAGGGCATACGAGCCCACGAGGGTCACCTCGCTTGGCGCGTCGAAAGAGACCTTCCAGTTCGCGTCGCTGGGTGGTGGAGGAAAGGTCCAAGGCGTGGCAACATGTTTCTTCTTTGAGAGCTTTTTGGCGGCGGCGAGGGGAGCGTCTGGCTCGAGAGACGGCGCGGATGTCAGAGCAGAATGCAGGGTGAGAAGAAAGCGGTCGATGGCCGCTCTACGCGAGGCTTTCAAGCGCACGTTCGGTAGCAGGGCATCAATCTGATAGTACAGTCAGTAAAATATTTGAGATGATACACTGTTTCAGTACTTGCCTGTAATTTGAACGATGACGAGCGGAATAGTTCTGCCGCATCCTTGATCGCGCGAACTTCTGAGCCAGTGGGCGCTTTCTTCGGCTTTCCTCCGCGCGGCGGAGACCCAGCACCGGCCTCTCCAAACCCGGCAAAGTCATCCCCATCATTGTCTCCTTCATCACTGCCCTCCTCCTCAGCCTCGCTTTTCTCCGCGTCCTCCAGTCCAGACATTACTTCATCCTCGTCGGGCGTTACTTGCCTCCGCTACCTCCAACATTAGTGCTGTCATTCAAAGGTATGTGTCCAGTGACACACCTTACTGGGGATCTCCAGTTCCGGGGCAGCGCCGCCGCGCTTGCGCTTCAGAGCAGCTGCCATCGAGTCTGCGTACAACCCGCGCGCTGCAGAAACTTCAAAAGTTCGCGTCACGGAACATGCGGGCCGCATGCCGGAAGCCCCTATCTTCGTGTGTGGCCCTGGACGATCAGACGAGCGATTTTTTGGCAAACGCCAATCATATATTGCAAACAGGAGACCAATCAATGCTCCGAGACGGAGACGAGGCTAATGCTACGTGGACAGACTTGTGCCGAGATTGAGACGGTGGTTGTATGCTACGGTGATCGAGACGGGAAATGTTCTACAGTAAAGGATGCGATGGAAGTGTTCTGAAACGTGATTCAAAAGGAGTATGTGAAAAGATGTATCGTAAACGAGATGAAAAGGCATAGTGCATGAGACGGGATCGTAAGCAGAGTATATGGGGGATGGAGGGAGTGGAGATTCAAGTTGTAACGTAGGGAGTAGGGTGGGTGAGCGACGAGCAAGACTCAAGAGGCCACACCCGTCAGAAGCAGGTTAAAGCAGGGAGTGTAAGTATGAGAGGACGAGCGAGACGTGAGTGAGCGTAAGGAGACATGGGTAGTATGAGAGGAAAACGGAAAGTAGGAGCGAGAGTAGAGAGCGAGACAAACGAGACACAGCTTATGAGCGTCGCTTGGGCGATAAGCGAGTTCCTTCCCCGAGAGCAACGTCGCGGGCCTTCACATCTGCTTCAGTGAAGCAGTGGTATAGGGCCGGTCGGAGTTTCTTCGAGCAGACCTCATCGGGGACAACATCGTACTGATCCATAACTTCAGTGGCGACAACCTGGTCGGTGATCTCCACATCCTCCAGAGTTTCCAGCGTGCCGCTGATGCAGGCTTCGCGCATCCGTCTGTAGTACTCGTGCGCCGTTTGGTAGGTAGCGGGCTTCTCGATCGTGAACGTAAAGCGCACATCGCCGGTCTTCGCCTGGGGATCGTATCTGTTACACCCGGAAGATTCGTGCGCGCGTTGGAAAGCATCGAAGCGTGTTTGCCTAAGATACAGTGAGCCCGCAGCATTCGAGACGGTTTCAGCGATCCAAGAAGATTGCTCACTCGGCAGTACACTGTGTGGATCCATTCACCTTGGCCGGGAGAACACCGCCGACACACTTGAACAACGAGAACTTGATGGACGGGAGTAGGTGTTCGCGAATCCGGGGAAAGTGGGTTTGCGCTGTCTGGGCATGGCGCTTCATAGATGACTGCGCTCGAGTGTTCCCACAACAGGCCGGGAAGGTCATTGATAGAACATCCACCACCGTCTACGCGACATATCTGGTCAGCTATCGAAGGGCCACAAGAGACAAAGTTCCATACCGTGAGTAAACAGCCGTTGTTGCCTCCATGACTGGGACGGATCGCGCGAGCACGATATAGGACACGTTGGTTCTGCGCCTCACCGTCGCGGAAGGGGATGATCTTCCAAATTTGGCTGTACTTGAGAAGCTCATTGCGCTCTTCGGGCGTCATGTCGTTGAGAATCAAACGCTCGACTGGCTCTCCAGTTCCTGCAGGCTAAGCTTGACTAGTCAGGGCCCTTCTAGATGAGAATGGCAGGCGAAACACGTACGAGAAGGGCGCCCGCATGTGCGGTCGCGGATTGGACGGCCTTGCCTTTGCGACCGCGAGTGCCATCCTCCACGGCGCTGTTCTCCTTGTCGGTCACGTTCTTGGTCTTCTTCCTAGGCGGCGACCCAGAGTCCGCCTCGGAGTCGACGCTGCGCTTGCGCTTCTGGCTCTCGGCGGGAAGAGCCGGGTTACTCTCAGCGGGAAGAGGTGAGTTACTCTCGGCGGGAGAAGGCGGGTTGCTGGCGTCGCCAGGAAGTGGGTTGGTACAGCCGGTAGTGGGATCGATACAATCGGGCCTTTCCATCTGCCACTCAAGAAGCAGCTGCTCCGGACAGAGCCCCCAAAGCGGCTGACTGTCTAACTCATCGGCCGGGATGAGAGAAGGGTATTCGGACGCGGGCGGACTGGCGGGTGCAAGCAGTTCCGCGAGGGAGACATCGAGCTGCGTATGCGACCAGGTCTCGTGCACCAGGCCGAATCCCTGCTCCCCAAGCACAACATTGCTTGGTCCTGGCAGCTCATCACTGACGGGAGGCTGCATTGGGGACGACGGCGGTAGATTGAGTAAAGATGAGAGAGGGAGGGGCGATGGGCAGTCGAGAGGAGCATCCTCCATCGCGTCGAAGTGGGCGGGATATTCGTCTGAATCTGCGTATATGTCGGTTGAAGTGGAAGGCTGTGTGCCAGACGTAGCAAATGCTAGTTGCTGGTAGTCTGCAGGCGGGGTGTTGGGAGTCGGAGACGGTTGGCTAGGCGGATTGGCCATGGCTACGTCGAGGGGAGGTGGCGCAGAAGTAGAGATTATGAAGGGAAGCTCAAATATACAGAGAGAATAGAAAGACAGTAGGTGAGGCGTGAGTCTCAAGTTTTCTGTAGTGGGGGTCAGTCGACATGTATATATGAACATGCCGCCTGCGGTTGTGGTTGATGTTCTTTCGGACCATACCGGAGAAACTACGCGTGTGCAGGAGTGTGTACGGTTTCTTCACAACCACCCTTGCGTAAAATTGACACATAGGGTGGCTTGTGACATCCGTAGGTGGTTGAACCAACCACCATAACACTAGAGCCACTGCAGCAGTGGAACCATCACACACGTGTGACTGTCGGGACTGTCCGCCATGTCGCCGTGACCCACTTCGGTCCATTGTAGCCCTCAACATTGACAAAAAAAGTATGGCCCAGCATTGATGGAGGGCCAAGGCTACAAAGAGCTTCACGTTGCGTCCCGCCTGCTCTGCAGCCGAAGTTTCGATATGATGTACGGAGATTGATTGCATGGTCTGCAAGGGCGATGAATTCCGTCAACCTATTTCTCGCGCAGCAAAGTGGTTGTACTCGCCTTTCGCACTGTCCAATCGCCGGGTGTTCGACCTCAGCAGCATGCCGGGATTTCGCCCGCCTCGCGTCGAAGCAAGTCCTCCGCTCAAGCCAAAAGACGTCGACGGAGATGTACAAGGCTTGTAGAGAGCGAGCTCCGCCTGGGCCTGTCAAGTTCGTTTACGTGGTGCCGAGAGTACACGATGTTTGGAAAATCAGCGACCCCCTGTTTGATTCAGTGTACGGGGTCGCTACATGGTCGTACTTGGGGCTGTAACGCCTTTGGACTCCAGAAACTGCCGATGCTCAGAACTCGAGTCTGTATAACTCCAGTGAGTTCGGAGTCCTCTATACACGTATTGTATGTGCTTCGGCAAATGGTGGCTGGTGAATGGCGTCTCGAGTTGTGTGCTGGTATGGGTGCAAGTTAGGGTGCAAGTAACGAACCACTCGGGCGACCAACCAGCGACACGGAGTCAGTCTCCGTCGGCGCATCGGCTTATTGATCCGGCCTCGGGCATCATAGGGCGCCCTGGCGGCGGGCCGACGCGCATCATTTACTCGTGTGTTGACGCGCGTCTCGACAGTGAGCAGCACTTGCCCTCGATGCGAACCGTCATCCAGCCCTTCCACCACATCCTCAGACATTCATCGCATCGCACTGTATTCCCGTCAAACCTCTTGATATAGATCAGTCTCCGCCCACACATTCAGTTCCAGTACATCATCGATGAGGCATTGGGTTACAAGCACACGTTTTGGTTCTGTAAGTCAGGCTACGATACGGCTCATGACATGTTGCTGAACAACCTCTAAACCGGAACTACGAGTGGAATTTGGTACCCGTAACCTGCTGACAACCCGACACGCTGGACCTCAACGCCGTTGACATCGTCTCTGATCTTGAAGCCTCCCGTCAGGTCGAATATCCTCTCAGGGTCGACAGCCTCTTGGATCTCCTGCAACCGCTTCAGATTGTCCGGGCCATAGATGTCGACGGAAGGGGTCGTAAACAGGGCGTAGTTGGCGTACTCGCCAACCTGCGCGACGTCTTGACCGAGTTCGATGGCCTTGTTGCGGATACCTTGAATGGTGTTCTGGAGCGATTCGAGCATGACATTCGTGAGAGATGCGTTCTTGAAGCCATAGTATGCGATGCTCGGTAGCAAAGCGCGATCTCGCGATGGCGGATATGCCGCAGGAGATATGATTGCAGCGTCCTCGAAGTAGGACGGTGAGAAGGGCTCCACGTAGATGGAAAGGTAGAAGTGGGGGTCCAGTGCAGTCATCTTGGCACCAATCTCCTATGATAGAGAATCAGCCTATACACCGTGCGCTCGAAAGATGGTACGCACAAGATCTAGTTCTTGCATATACTTCAAGAGCTCCATGGGGTAGTCGAAAACATTCACGGAACCGAAGTACGCGCTGGCCCCAGGTTCGATAGGCGTGAGGAGTTCGAGTGACTGTAAGAAAGAGGCGAAGTCGCGTGTCACAAGGTCCGAAGACAAAGACGGTATAGCCAACCAGTCATCGAACAATCCAGCCGGGGGTGAGGGGCCATCATAGAACAAAACGATGTAGGCGAAGGCGGCGCCGAGACCGTACTGATACCCCGTGATGACACAAGCCTTTGGGTCTGTGTTGTTCGCGGAGAATCGTTCCGATGCGGCGGTCAAGGCGTCGAATTGAGTGCCGTCGATGGAAAATATGCCGCCCTGTAGTTGTTGCATCAGGACCACGATAGGCTTGCGTTATGGGTCGGTAAAGACGATACGAACCCAGACATCTCCTTGCGGGTGTGTGATCAAGTGGAAGGTAGTGACCTATTCAACTGCTCAACGTGTGCCCAATTCTCTCCATGAAGTCTTGACTCACGATGCCAAAGTTAGCAGCGCCCGCTCCGCGTAAAGCAAACCAGAGGTCTGCATCCGCAGGGGTGATCGTGGCTATGGTCGCGTTCGGGAGCACGATGTCATACGCGACAACGTTGTCCATCGCCAATCCGTATTGACTGGTATGATACGCATAGCCTCCACCTAGAATGAAGCCCCCGACACCGACGCCAGGCACGCGCGCACCGACGACGACCCGGCCAGTGCCGTTCAACGCATTATATGCATCATCCCAGAAGCAGCCGGCACCAACGGCGACGGTGTTGCTGTCTTTCAGAACCACCGAATTGAGACGTGACATTGCTATCTGAATACCCTGCGTAGATGCGAAGCCGGGATTCGTACCATGGCCACCACTTTTGATCGCGAACGGAACCCTTGTCTCGCCGATGATCCTCATCTGTATGAAAGGTACATCAGAGAACCGAGTGTTGGGCGGCGAGCGGTATACGCACAACGGTAGAAACGTCTTCTGTGCTTCCAGGCTCGACCGTACAGGTCGAGTTCTGAGTGCTGGCGAGAGACCAGTGCTCTATGTCGGCGGCATAGCCATCCGAGCCTGTTCAGAGCGTACATCAACTTCGCGCAAACGACAATGTGTCCTGATAACTTACCAGGATAGAATACATCGGAGCTGCTGGAAACGGAGTTTTGGATTTGGGAGCAGGCATCTTTGACATTGCCAGATCTCGCCAACAGAAACGAGGGCGAGACTACGAGAAGGTACTTGATGAACATGGTGCAGATGTGTGCGGGGTGCCCTCTGGTCAAATGTGGCTGAAGTTTTCCGTATAAATAGTGCCGATGAGGGCCAAGCCTTTACGTCGAGGACTGGTGAGTCGTTGTCGATGGCCTCTGATGGAACTTGTCGGTACACCTGATGCAAGTTCCGTGGGTAGAGAACACACAGGCCGATACGTCTAACACTCGCCGGACTGGATGCCTCGACACCGATACCTAGAGATCGGTTCAGTTATGTCTAACTCGTACAGGAAGTGAGCCACATACCGAGTTTGTTCAGGGAAAGGCTTCAGCGCTTCATGGCAATAGACTCGCTGAGTGCAGGAACTCGTGAGCGGAGTATAACCGCAACGGAGCGCCCGATCCTGCTGCTGTTTGGCTACAGGTCACCCTAGGTTTGGCGCGATGTAGAGTCTGCCCTCGAAGCGGGTGAGAAGCGCTAGCGCCGTTGGGTGATTGTACTGATGAACGTCCTCGGCTGAATTGAACGAAGCGACGCCTCACGACACGTACAGCTTCTTCAAACGACGCGACCCTGATTCCTGTGGCATCTCGCAAGCCTCACGAGACCCCGTCGGTAAGAGACACCTCGGTATGACAGTCCTAGATGGAGCGCCGCGACGTTACTGTAAGAGAGGAGAAGCACGTTCATTCACATAATGTAGACTCGGCAGCGGTGATGAGTGGAAGGAAACTAAGTGTAGTGGAGACTATAGTGAGGAGAACGTTCGTGCCAGCAGTAGATACATGACATCCTCGCACGCGCGCTCGTCATCCGAGGCGTAATGAATGGCAACGTGAGATTGGTACGGGCAAGGGAGGGGGCAGGCGGAACATGGTGGGAAGTCCCAGGATGCGTCTAGTCTTTGATCGCCGTCACGGCTATTTCCGGCCGGGTCCCACACGGCCACGAACCAGTGAAACCAGTGTTGCTTTATTGACCGCCCTCGGACTCTCATGAGCTGCAAGTATCGAGCCTTCAACCGATCTGACTTCGGCGCAACGTTATGCATTGGCTCGGGTTTACATAGCACAGTCATCAAAACCAAGGTCCTTCTCAAGGGCAAGCGCGGCGTGATCTGCAGCAATTCACATACGTGATAGTACATAGCTACAGTGCCGCATGGAATGAAGCTTAGTGCCACCGGCGGCTACTACAAAGAGTCCTTGAATGCAACCTGAACCCCTTCCAGCGGCGCTGTTCCGTCACCAACAGCACTGCACACTTCAACACCGTCGGTATCCTCTCCGAGTTTGAACCCTCCCGCGAGGTTGAAGACCCTTTCCGGGTCGATTACGTCCCGAATCTTCCGCAACCGCGCCAGATTTTCCGTCCCGTAGATGTCGACCGTGGGCGTGGTAAACAACGCGTAGTTGGCGTACTCGCCGACATGCGCGATGTCTTGACCAAGCTCTACAGCCTTGTTGCGGACGTCGCTGATTGTGCGCTGCATGGAATCAAGCATGACTTTCGTGAGCGAGGCGTTCTTGAAACCGTAGTATGGGAACGTGGGAAGAAGAGCGAGATCGCGCGAGGAAGGGTATGACGCAGGCGTCGTGTCCACGGCGTCTTCGAAGTACTCCGAGGAGAAGGGTTCGATGAACCACGAGATGGAAAAGCTTGGATCCAGTGCAGAAAGCTTCGCTGTCTCTTCCTATGTCACATTGGCTGATCAGAAAGTGAGAGAAAGGGTGCTTCACGACAGCAACGCACCTGGCTGATCTGCTGAATATACTCCTGAAGTTCGATGGGATAGTCTACGAAGTTAATAGAGCCCCAAAAGGCGTTGGTTCCGGGCTCAATGGGAGCGAAGGGAGCGAGAGACTGGATGTGTGACGCAAAATCGCGGATCTGGAGGTCCGATGCCGCAGACGGGATAGCCACAAACTCGTCGAAGATGCCAGTTGGCGGCGTGGGACCATCGTAGAACAGGATCAGATAGCCAGACGCGGCGTCTTGGCGATATATCACAGAAGCCTTCTTGTCCACGTTGTAGTCCGAGAAGCGTTTGGTGGCAGCCCGGGCGGCATCTAGTTGAGGTTCATCGAGCCGAACGAGGCCACCCTTCGTGAGGGCATCAACGAGGGTGTTGGGGAAGAATTGAGGTAAAAGTACGTACCCAAACGTCCCCTTGCGGATGCGTAATGAAGTGAAAGGTAGTCACCTGTCAGAGATTAGTAGTATACCCCAGCCAAACGACGCCGGGCACGTACGATGCCAAAATTGGCGGCGCCTGCACCACGCAGAGCAAACCAAAGATCCTCATCCGCAGAGGTGACGGTGGCGATTGTCCCATTGGGAAGTACGATCTCGATCGCGGCAAGATTGTCCATGGCCAGGCCGTACTGGCTAGTATGGTACGCATAACCACCACCTGATAATCATGAGCGGACTCTCGCGAACTGGCAATCACGGAGCCTATGTACCTAGAGTCAGGCCGGCAACTCCAATATCGGGGACTCTGCCGCCTAGGACGATTCTGCCAGTACCGTTGAGTGCGTTATAAGCATCGTCCCACTTGCAACCCGCGCCGACCGCAACCGTGTCTTTACTTCCATCTAGCAACACATCCCTGAAACGCGACATGGCAATCTGTACGCCAGGCGTCGACGAGAACCCTGGGTTAGTAGCATGACCGCCTCCCTTTATAGCGAACGGAGGTCTGGTATTTCCGATTATCTTCATCTGCTTGACTGTCAGATGTCTATACGGACTTCAGGAGTACGGTACGTACGATGATGGCCACATCTTCAATAGTGCCGGGTTCAACCGAGCATGTAGAGTTCTGTGAGCTTGAGAGTGACCAGTGTTCAATATCGCGAAGGTAACCATCCGAACCTGGGCGAGTAGTCAGAGATAGCGCTGGACATTTCAGGTATAGACGAACCAGGATAGAAGACTTCTGAACTCTCCGATACTGAGCCTTGTATCTGTCGACAAACGTCCTCTATATCGATGACCCTGGCCCAACAGCCGTAGAGAAGGACGACGAGGGATTGCTTGAGTAGCGAGTAGATCATGGGTGATCAGGAGTGCTACAACTTGAGCTTCACTGTCCACATATATGCACAGACCCGACCGTTTGGAGTTCCACGGGGAAGCTGCCTCGACAAGTACGTGCAGTGGCGCCAGCTTGGACAACCGGGCTCACACACTATTCAATGCGAGCCGACCGCGGGCCGGCCGAGTGTCGAGCGCTGAGCGCTGGACTCACACCCAAACCCGGAGCGGTAGTTGCGTCTAGGGTCGGTGCGCTTCCTTCATTGACCGAGTCCTGACAAGTGACCTGGCTCTGTCGTATGACCGAGCACAGGGTTATGTTCAGATGTATCAGACTGTGCTCGGCCCTTGCTATCTGCAATGTGGCTTCTGAGAAGATTCTCGAGGTGTACAGAAGTCGAAGCAATGAGGTGGCCGTGCGCGCTTCGCGTCGAGCTGAGGTCAGACTACAAGAGTACGATTGCCTTGTGAAGGTTCTTGGAGGCGGTCGGGAAAGGAAGCGTCATATGTTTGGAGGTTTTTCATGGCAGTAGCACACCTGCAGATGGCGGTCAAGAGCACGTCGGTGTCCACGTTCACAAGGTTCGTGAGAGCTTATCGGACATCGGCCCGAAAGATGCAAACCCCCTGTCTTGCGGGTGCCGTCATGGGCGGAACGCCGACCACGACGACGGCAGGTCTCGTCGACGACGATAGCGTATAGATTAGACAACCATGTTTGCCGCGCTTGGAATTTCGGCCATCGCCCTCGGGGCTGCCAATAGTCCGTCTTCTTCTGGTCCATCATGTCTGCCTCGCCGCCGACCGCCGACGCGCCGTTTCAAGTGTCCCAGATGACGAACAAGGAGCAGGGCGCGCAGCCTGCCGGACCCCGCACGAAGAAGGCAAGGATAGCGCTGCTTGTGGCAGATACGCCCATCCCGGCCGTGCTCAAGCAGCAGGGCGATTACGAGGCCATCTTTACGCGCTTATTCGAAGCATCCAAGCCGGGTGACGTCCCTGCGTTCCGGTTGGATGCGTTCGACGTAAAGAAGGGTGAATATCCACCCGAGAGCATCCTGGACGAGTATCTGGGTGTGGTTATCACCGGTTCTGGTATGTTGCTTGCCCAAGCTCTGCTCTGATCTGTGCTGATCTGAGTGACAGCAAGTAGTGCGTACGAGGATGTCGAATGGATAAACAAGCTCGTTGTCTTTGTCAAGCGTCTTGCGCTCACCACGCATGTCATCAAGATCATCGGTGCGCTTCCGAGCCTGGCCGACCCTTGCGCGGTTGTTGATGACCATATTGTGCGCAGGTATCTGTTTTGGTCACCAGATTGTGGCGCGCGCTTTTGGCGGCGATAACGCAGTCGTTCCCAACGGCGGCAAATGGGAGGTTGGGATTGAGCCGATCAAGCTCACTACGCTCGGGAAGCGCATCTTTGGAAAGGATGAAGACATTGTGCGCTGCTATCTCATAGCTTGCACGAGCTTCACTGACACCTGTGCTTTAGAATATCCAGGAGATGCATCGCGACCATGTACCTTCACTACCACCGGCTTTTCATCTACTCGCGAGCACAGACGTGAGCAAGAACCAAGGGATGGTCCGTTTTGCATTCAAAGCGCCAGAACCCGGTCCCAATGAAGCACTCCCGCCGATCCATATATTCACCGTGCAAGGCCATCCGGAGTTCAATAAGGAAATAGTACAGGAACTTGTCGAGGTATGCATCAATGCTATCTCGATAGAACTGGTACGCATGCTCATACGCGTTGAAAGGCAAGGAGCAAGAGTGGTGTCCTCGACACGAAGATCGCTGATCAGGCGCGTAAACGAGCTGAGTGGCGCAACGACGGCGTACATATTGGACGAGTGATTTGGGCAATTCTCCGGCAGTAATTCGGCTGTATCAGTATCGATGCGGAGACAATGTATGATCTAGAATGAGGGACTGCTGACTTCTATCGTAGAGTACAACGTGTGTGGCTAAGTGTGCTTGCCGGTCGCAGTTCTTTCGTTTCCTGTGCCACAGATAGTACAGTATGCCGACCTCCGACGCAGGCTAGCCTTCACGGTTTGCTCCTGATGCGATCTCGCCCCATCCGATCGTCGTGGAGGCGTATACGCAACTTGCATGTAAGTCGGTCGAGACATTCATCTCCGCAAGTGCTCGGCTGACTGCTTTGCACGATGTCCGTTCTAGGTCTACATATCGCCGCTGGTTGTCTCCTCCAACTTGCCGTGAAGCTCCAAGGGCACAAGGCTGTGTCCCTGCGCCCGATTTCATACTGCTCTCGCGCTTCTCGCAATGAGGACTGCGCAAGGCTCTGCGACGGTCCCCGTGTCGTCGAGATGTCATGATGCATCTTGCGAAGACCGCGGCAACCGCAGCTAATCTGTGGGTCAACGTGCTTGCTTATTTGGGCGCTGGAAATCTCGGACCTCGGTACTATCTGAAATTCTTTGCACTCATTCTGAGTGAGCTTTCGATATGCTTACCTGTAGCATTGTGCAAGATGAATATGTCAAAATTTCAAGACTAGACTTTTCCCACGAGTTTGTAGTCGCGCTGATCGTGACCGGATGGCCCTTCGTTCGCCGTGATTGCTGATAGCTCCAAATCTACTCGACGAGAACACCACGGCGACGGGCCGCATCGACAATTGCCTCAACGGTCATTCCCATACGCACGATGTACGGACACCGTGCTCCGGCTCATCGACCGTCGTCTGAACCATCAATTCACCAACTTGCCTTTCCTGCATACTGCGCAGATGCTGTCTGCGCGCGCAGCGTATATTCGCACGGTAGAACATCTTCTCCAGTCGTTTCATTACGCTATGTGCCTGACGCACCTCAAGCTCACTGGCTCGTACCGACTAATGGATCCTTAGATGGGCTTGGTCAGGTCCAATTGGTGCGGGGGTATAAAGAGCTTGCACTCCGGGAACGGTTAAATCAGTTCTTCAGACTGTGCTCGACCTGGTATCCTCTTCAACAATGCATTCTTTCGTCGTTCTCGCTGTTTTCATTGCAAGCGCGCTCGCTGCTGGGCCGCGTCCTACGTGCAACAGTGAGCCTTCTTCGCTGATCTCCTGCCCTTCGTATATTAACGTCTTCCTGCGTAGCTGATGTCAAGGTCGCGTACGTGCACGGCTTCGCTCGATGAGGCTTCTCGCTGATTCTAGCCCCCGATATCCAGAACGACCGATCTCTGCACGGACATCGCAGAGAAGTGGGGCACGAACGTGACGGCGATCCAGACGATGAACGCTAACGCGACTTGTATGTCTTCTACCTCGATATCTTCTCATATACTGACAAAGGCCTTAGGTTCGCCGTCCGTCGGTATTGATAGCGTTTGTGTTCGCCGTACGTCTACACCGCGGTCCTACGCAGTAGACCGACTAACGTGTTGTATTCTGTATGCAGAGCAAACCGTTGCGTGCACGCTGAATGAGACGGCTTCTTCGACTACTTGCGATGCCTTCCTGACCTCGTACAACCTGACCGAGGCCCAGTTCATCCAGCTGAACAACGACGTGTCTGACTGCGACAGCCTTACTGTTGGCTCTACGGTGCGTCTTTTCTGCCTTGACTCAACCCGCGTCGGTCGTTCTGAAACCGACATTACCCTCAGTACTGCGTAAGCAACGTGTACTGCTTCCCCGGCAACACCGACGAGCTTTGCACCGGCCATGTCACTCGTTAGAGAGCGTCAGATGTCGTCCGTATTCAATCTGGGTCCACTCGGGCTGTATTCTTTGCTATCATTGTCACTCGTTTCCGGATAACTGCCGTATTGTGACGCTCATATTAAGTGTTGTTTGTTGCACGAAGCGAATCCGAAAGTAGGTGTGATTGGTACTGTATGATTGATCAACAAAAGCATGTCTGTGACATGACAAGATCAGGGTGATTAGCGCGAAGTCTACAGGTAGTGTAGTATGGAATGGGTCGCGATGATAGTCTAACTCTAAGGGTGGAGTCTAACAGGCCTGCCCTTGCTGAATCCCCTCGCCCGCTTTGGTACAAACTTCCTTGTGCCCTTGCTTCCAGTGAAGTTTCTGGCACTCCGAGTCGCAGTATGTCGTCTGACGACACCGGGCACATTTCTTCACCACTGCGCTGGGGCGCCTACACCACGAACAGAAGAGTATCTTCGGACAGGTAGGCTCGACCAGCGGCTCGCACACATGAAGCACGTCGGCGCCACACTCCAAGTCCTTTGGCTGTGTCTCGTCCTTCTGTTCAAATCTGTCAAGCCAAAGTTGAAGTGCCTCCGGACCGCGAGTCTCCGCTTGCATGAGTAACTGTGCGCGTTCGTCCTTTTCGAAGAGCTCGGCTGCCCGTCGAAGCATCCCGCCCCATTCCGATAAGGCCTCCGATATGTTGTCGGTGACATACTTGCAGACCTGAACTCCCGCAGCCCTGGGATGGACGGGGTTCTGAAGGTGGGAGAGAAACCGTTGGTTGACATCGATACGTTCAAGAGCGTTCTGAAGATTGTCGTGATCAGAGCGATGAAAGAACTCAGAGACTTGACGCTTACCTTGATGTCGGGAGATTCGAGAGTAAGCGAGGGATCGAGCATCATCGCGGTCACGATATATAAAGCCGAGTCTCCTTGACCCGACAGAGCATCTGGGGGAGCCATGTCGACCTCAATCAGTCTCAGAGCGTCTTCGTGCGCTGAGTGCAACAGCGCGACGCGTTCCTCGTCACGCACGCCAGCCTCTCGCGCAGATCTCTGCAAAGCGTGATAGGCGGTGTCATGGCGCATCAAGTGCTGAATCCACGCGGGCCGACCCTCAGGCTTTCGGAGCGCCTTCTTGGCGAGCGGGAAGAGGTCCATCCTGCGACCGCTACACAGTACATGGGATGCGTAAATGGAGGTGAGACTGTGCTTCTTCGCCTCGCTCACAGAGAGCGTCTTTCCGCTCAAGGATAGTGCTCGCAGTTCGAGCGTCTCGGCCCATTGTACGTCTTTGGTATTTCCAGTGGCGCGCAATGCTCCGGCGCAGATCTTAAGTAAGCCCGACATCTGCCCATCGTCGCTTCGTGGAGAGCGCTCGCCACAGCAGTCGCATACCAGATCACCGACCAGGTAAGGGCAGTTCTCCGTCTCAACGGCCAGTCCACGCCCGATAGCGACGTAGTCGGGATCTGGCATGGCGGACATGGCCAAAAGTGCTGATACATTGTCACGAGCGTGTTTGAGCAGACTGAGGGTACACTTCTCCCGACCGAATGCATCGCAGATCTCAGCCAGATCTTGAGGAAGAGGGTTCTTTTCGACAAGCGCCACAAGACCGAAGGCGTTTACTGGCTCAGCATCGTCTTTCCCAGGAGATTGCTCGATGACCAGCCTCCGCAGCCCATCCAGAGCCTGCATACGTCGGCGAAGGTCCGAAGAGCGCATGAGGGCGACGTAGAATGTGATGAGTGAATGTTGACCCGCGCAGAGATCTGGTGCTTTAATGATCGCATCTCTGAGGAAGAGTAGACCGTGGCGGAATGTCCATGCCGACATATTGGGGTCTCGCATAGAGTTGAGCGTATCAGTGATGAGTAGCGGCAGCTTGTTGAGAGTCTTCATCACAGACGCCGACTGCATCATTGTACAACGAGCCACCAGACTCATGACTAAAGATTGAGTGACCTGATCCTCGGGGTGTTGGTTCCGTATATAGACAAGGATAGGAAGACTGCCAGCTAGCAGACTTGTGAGCCGCTTGCCAGGTATACGAATCAACGAATTCAAGGCCAGAAGGGGCATGTTGCGGGTCAACGGCTCGTCCAGTAGATCCATGAACTTGTCGAAGAGACCTTCGCGCGCGGTGAGTGGACATGATCCGATGGTACTCGTGCACATAGCGTACCGTAATCTAGCAGAGTGTCTTGCAAGATGGTATCCCCGACGCATATTGCCACATATATGGTCATGAGGCCACCCATCCCGTCATAGTGGTCTTTCCGGCGGAAGTACTTGTAGGTAGCGTGCAAGCGAGCTTGAATTGCCTTGAAATCTGTGTGTACTTTTTTGAGGCCAGCCCGAGTATCCAGATCTAGCACGTCGTTATTGCACCACTTTGCATAAAAGGCTCCGAGGTACGTACTTGGTAACTCGAGTACGCGGCTGAGCATCTCGGCAGACTCGCACCACGCGTCGGAAAAGCCATTGGAGAAGCCCGTGGACAAAAACGCAAGCGAGTCACTGTCTTCCTTCTGCCGGGCGAGGGCGATTTGCTTAAGCTTTGATTCAACTAGGGCCATGTGTCTCCTAAATGTGAGGTATGAGATGACGTGCGGTTGGTAGAATGAAGCAGGAGGCGTTGCGCACGAAGATTGTCAACGTCCCAGGTCCAGGGCCCGGGCCAGGTTGTCTGCGATTCGGAGTTGCTTCTGAGGAGAGGATGGTGCAGAATAGTTTGTGAGTGAGCGGCCCCTTATATGTTATGGTACAGTGGTCGTGGTTGATCAGAACGGACGTGGACCATGGGCATGAGGCGCGAGCTGGTGGACGCAGCGTCCAAGCGCCTTTTTCAAGTGCCACAACAAAGCAGGCGTGGACCCCGACTCGGCTCGTCCGGATCAATTGTCGCGGGAGTACTTATTGTTGCTCTGAAAGGAAAAGTGACTATAACTACCAGTATTCATGTGCTCCGCTTTGTATTAAAGTATGCTCTATGTGTAGTATCCGTGCAATATTTCGAGACGCATATAGCTAGGATATCGTATGGGAATGGGTGTCTAGCGTTCCGGAAAACTGAGGGACGAAATGGCGTATTATATCGGGCACGCAAAAGATGAGTAGAGATTATTCAACTATATGTGTAGAACGAGAATGAGTATGAGGTGGCAGTCCAGGTCCAAACGAGGCTCTCCTCTACTCGCAAGTTGAGTCGCAAACGTGCTCATGCTCAGCCTCGGGCTTGCCGCATACATCTTTATGTCCCTTCTTCCAGTGAAGCCTCTGGCATTCCGAGTCACAGTACGTGGTCCGGCGACACCCTGCGCACTTCTTCAGCACGGCACTCGGGCGCCTGCACCAGGAGCAGAAGAGGATCTTCCGACACGTGAACTCAACTCCGGGCTCGCATGTGTGTAGCACATCATCGGCGCAGTTCACAGCTTGAGACCGAGCATCTTCCTTTTGCTCGAAACGGTCCAGCCAAAGGTGCAATTGCTCGGAACCGCGACTCTCAGCCTCGATGAATTGCTGAGCACGCTCGTCCTTCTCGGCGAGCTCGCTGACGCGACTGAGCATGCCGCCCCACTCCATCAAGGCGCTCGATAGATTCTGGGTGACAAATTCGGAGACTCGTATTGCGGTCGATTGTGGACGAACAGGATTGCCAAGATAATCCAGAAACCGTTTGTTGACTGCGATGCGTTCAAGGGCGTCCTGGGTATAAATTGAATGAGGCCGCACGATAGAGCGAATGGACCAAGCTTACCTTGATGTCTGGTGACTCGGTTGTCAGCAACGAGTCCAGCATCATCGCCGACAAAATATATGTCGCCGAATCTCCCTGACTCGATAGCGAATCCGGCGAGGCAACGTCGACTTCCATGAGTTTGATAGAGTCCTCGCGCGCGGAGTGTAGCAGTGCAACCCGCTCCTCATCACATACGCCGGTTGTACGTGCGGCTCGAAGCAAACCATGGCTTGCCGCGTCGGACCGCATCATACGTTGCATCCACGCCGGACGCCCCGCGGGTTGCCGAAGCGCCTTCTTGATGAGCGGGAAGAGGTCTATCCGCTGACAAGAGTGCACTACATCCGAAGCATAGACGGACATGAGATCATATTTCTCTGCCTCGCTTGTAGAGAGTTGCCGATGGTTGATCGCGTGCGCTCGAAGTTCCAGGATCACAGCACGCCGCACGTTCTTCTTGGTTCCAGTGGCGCGTAGCGCCGAGGCGCACTTCTCCAACAACTCCGGCATTGGCCCGCCATCCGTCTGGGCAGAGCGCTCTCCACAGCAGTAGCACACGCGATCCCCAGCCATGTAAGGGCAGGCCACCATCTCGGTGGCCAGTCCGCGCCCAATGGCAACGTAATCGGGATCGGGCATAGCAGACATAACGAGAAGCGCGGCTACGTTGTCGCGGGCGCGCTTGAGCATGCTGAGCACGCACTTGTCACGACCGAAAGTGTCGCAGATCTTGGCGAGGTCGGGAGGAAGGGGATTCATCTCAACAAACGCCACTAAACTGAACGCATTCACTGGCTGCTCAGCGGCGATAGATTGGGGAAGGTTGAATGCCAGTCTCCATAGTCCGTCCAACGCCTGCATACGGCGACGAAGGTCGGAAGAGCGCATGAGAGCGACGTAGAAGGTGATGAACGAAGGGTTGCTAGCACAGAGCTCCGGCGCTTTGTCGATCGCGTCCCTGAGGAAGAGTAAACCGTGGCGAAAGGACCAGGCCGTCATATTCGGGTCGCGCATGGCATCAAGTGTGCTGGAGAGAACTTGGGGCAGCGTGTCCAGAGATCTCGTCGTCTGCGCCATTGAGCAGCGAGTGATTATGCTGATGATCAATGACTGAGTGATCTCGTCCTCGGGATAGCGGCTCCTGGTGTGAAGAAGAACGGGTAGACTGCCGGAGAGGGACGAGAATAGACGCTTGCCCGCCGCGCGAACCAGAGAGTTTAAAGCCATGAGCGACATATTGCGTGTCGTTGGCTCATCCAACAAAGCCAAGAGTTTGTCGAAGAGACCTTCATGCAGGAGAGTCAGTCACTGCCGATGACAGATTGACATTCACGCACCATGATCGAACAGTCTATCTTGCAAGATCGTGTCGCCCACACATATGGTCACGTATATAGTCACAAGACCACCCATGCCATTGTAGTGGTTTCGTCGACGGAAGTGCTTGTATGTTGCGTTTAAGCGCGCTTGTATGGCCTTGAAGTCGGCGTGTATCTTCTTGAGACCTGCACGCGTGGACAAGTCTATAGAACATGTCAGGATAATGATACGAGATAATAGACGATGTGCGCACTCGGCAACTCGAGGACACGAGAGAGCGTCTCCGAAGACTCGTGCCATACGTCGGAGAACCCATTAGAGAACCCTGTCGATAGATAGGCAAGTACATGGCTATCCTCCCTCTTGCAGGCGAGTGCGAATTGTTCGAGCTTTGAGTCTACCGTGGTCATGTGTATCTGACCTTGGCGGGTGAGACTCCCGCGCGTAAACATGAATCGACGACGGTACGTACGAAAACAGGAGAATTCAGGGTGCAGCTGTAAGCGTTCTGCGGGCTTGAAGGTCTATTGAAGATGGTGGACGTGGCAAACCAACCAAACCGGGTCCCATGAGGCGCTGAACTGTTCAAACGCGAACGCACGCGTTCGAGTGCCACAAGCGAATGTCGGAGCCGAAGGCGCGTCGAACGCTTCTTATGTAAATGCGACATTCACGGTATGCACTCGCTTGCATCGGTAGAACAATTACGCTTGAAATACAACGGGCTGCCAGATATGTAAGCAACATAGCTAGGTCAACAATGACACCAATGCGTACATTGCCTATCCTCCCAAATACTACGCAGCGTCTCAAACACTCTCGCGAACTACGTCGTATGATCTGGCGTATGCACTCCAGTGCCCAGGTTTTCGTTCACTTCATCATCGTCTGCTTCGCTACTAGAGCTCCCTAAGCCCATCTCCACATCGTCATTATTAGGTTGCGGCTGAGACCACTCAATTTCCTCCGGCTCTTCCTGCTCTACCGCCACACGGCTCTTCCAGTCGTATTTCTCCTTCAGCAGCTCGACGGCAAGCGTGGCACGCGTGACAAGAGAGTCATGGGCGTCGCGTATCTCCGCACACTCCGCCTGCACTTCGCTATGTACTGGCTTGAGATCCAACACTCCTTGCCCTGTGCGCATGTGCTCCGCTAATCTCCGGACCGAAACGTTCTCCTGCGCATAAACACTGAGGTTTTGCGCTCTGTTGAGGTAGTTATTCGCGGCCGATTCGAAGGCAGATTGGTCTTCGGGTATGACGCGGGGGTGTATGACCATTCCTCGAAGGTTGGTCGCTGCGAGTGAAGTGGCGAGATTCTCCGTATGCGAGACTAGAACAGAGTACTTGGAAAGAAGTTCGGGATATGTTGGCATGGCCGGAAGACCACCGTAGTGAATTGTCTGTTGAAGGGCGCTGAGCGCGTCCTCAAGCGCCGTTGCTTTGCGTTCGATCGACTGCAGTTGGGCAATCGTGGAGGGAGGGACTGGGACAGCGGGTAGTTGCGGTTGACTAGTCCCGTTGCGCACTTGAGAGGTGGAAGCTTGTGCATTGGCCATGACGCAGTATTGAATTGATCAATGTGAGGTGGTGGTGGTGGTGGTAGAAGGGCAAGTTGCGAATGGCGTGTCTTGTCCTGAACGGCCATCATTGATCGAACAGGCAACGGCCACTGTTTTCGCATCTGGACTCGAAGAACCGTCCTCTTTGATGGCCACTTCATCGCGTACCCTGACACGAGAAGAGGCGCAGGAGATCCTGCAAAGGCATCTCCCAGGCGCAGAAATCAAATCGCTCGAGGACTTCTCTCCCTCTTCTCACATCATTCGTCTTGGTGACGGACGAGCATACTTGCTCAAGCTCACGAGTTCTACCAAAGACTCGAATGCCCCGCTTTATGCGCCTAACAGTATCTCCGCTCAACATGCCCTTCTCGCACACCTCGCCGCGCAACCACAGTTCCCGTCTCTGCCCATCCCATCTCCCATCGCTCACGGCGATCATGCCGGGCATTCGTACCTTCTCACGTGCTTCCCGGATCGTGCCACTACCCCAAACCTGCGCTCCTTGTCATCTATCCGGGAACATATGTCCCCTCGTGCCGTAGCCCTCGCCGATCTCCAACTAGGACAATACCTGCATAGATTGCACGAAGTCCAGAACGACTGGTTCGGCCCACCCGCGCTTGAAAGCGAAGGGCTATGGGTTTGGCAGGAAGTCTTCGTACTTCTCCTTGAAGAAGCCCTCGATCGCGCAGGGTCATTGGGCTTGGCTCTGGATATTCCCGCGTTGCGTCGCTTGCTCTCGCGCGCTATCGGCGCCTTCGTCTTCGACGACGCGGAAGTACCGAGCTTCGTCTGGTTCGCGGGAGGCTACGATGATGTCTACGTCTCCCAGCCGGAGTCGGAGGATCCGGACAGCGTAGAGATCGCGATGATTCTGGCGGACGTGGAGAACGCGCTGTGGGCCGATCCTGCGCTCGAAAGGCTCTTCGCGAACCCCAGCCAGGCCTTACTCGAAGGTTACGATGCACACCCGCCGCTTTTCGAGTTTCCCAGGCAGCACACGAAGCGCTTGTGGTATACCCTATACACAGCCCTTGTCCAGCTCTTAATCGGGCGACTCGGGGGAGATCAGGAGAGCCAGGCTCGGGAGACGGCGGAACGGGTGGCGAACGAACTTCAGAATGCAACCAGTTACTGAGAGGCGGAAGACATCGGGTGCACAGACACGGAGGTGGACGGAAATGCGTCGCGTCGATTGGTCAGTCGCAGGGTCAGACCCACGAAGTGTGGTCGGTGGACATCCCTTCAGGCTGTATGTTATCCCCACGCCAGAATTCATATGGCCTTGCGATGACTGCATGCGCTTCTGGCGCAAGCACAAAACCATGATCGTCCTAGAAGCTGTCGCTGGCGGTGAAGTGACATCTGATCAAACCGTCAGGATCTGTGTCCGGCGTCATCTGCTGTTCCCGAACATCTCGCCATCGACCTTCTAGCTGAGCGCTTCACCTCAACTCTCCCACCATGTAGCCCAAGGGAAACCCTGAGACGCACAATCCGAGTCAGTAGAGGATCTTCCGCCGTTCGCAGTCTGACCCGCGACGCCCAGATCGGTGATACGTTCTCTCAGAGGCAGCCTTATAACCCAGATCTTCAGTGGGATCGGGGTCTCGCAGCTTTACCATTCGCTTTCGTCCCACTGCGCTTTTAATACCCACCTTGCTTTCGGAAACAATCCTACCCCTTCAACATGTCTACAACCGAGCTAAACAACGTCACCACTTCGGACTCGCAACGTCCACCGTTCCCTTCATACAAGAGCCCCGACGACCCGTCGTCCGGCTTTGCAACTGAGGATGAGGCCCTGGAGGCATGGGAGGCAGAGTGCGAGGTGTACCTCGAAAAGTACGGTGGCGCCAAAGTTCGCGATCCCTGGGAAGAGGTTCCCATGATGTCGTCGGACAGTCAGACTGTACGCCCAGACCTTGCGCACTCATCCCCTCTGTATATATCAATCCTATTCGCAGTTCCTTCTACCGCCGATCGCATGGGAGATCAAACGTACCCTCGCTGCCGACCAAGACACTCCTCGATCACAATCGCCCGAGCCCATCGTGCTGGAGAACCCTAGCCCTAAGCGCCGACTTCGTACGCTCTCGCGCGTCAAGTCTATCTTTGCGCGCTCGTCACGCTCTTCCTCGACGTCTTCAACTTCTTCCAAATCACCGAGGAGTCCTCCACAGACACCCCTCCGTGGACAAATATCCCCATAACTTCATCTGTCTTCGCATATTCTTCAACTACACCGCTTTCACTCATATCCCCTTGTCTTGGTATTTATTGCCTTACTTATCACTCTTTCGTCGGGAACTCTCGCGATACTTTATGATGTATACAAACCCATAGTAATACAAGGATCCTACACGTCCGACCATCTACATCCCAAAGGTCTCACTAACCACTTCGATCCCACCGACCTGCCTCCAATGCTCCCATGAAACACTCCCCACAGCCGCATGCGCCTGCTCGCTGATCTGCGCCGGTCCACACGTCGATACGACTAGACCGCGTGCCCTGACACCGGGATGAGCAGCAGCCGTAGCGCGACATGCGTCTGCAAGCACAGTGCGCACGTAAGGCCGGCCCGCATGGAGTACTAGGCCAGCGGGCAGCTCCGCAGGGTTGAGAGCTTTCATAGCACCCGGGCTCACTCGCGTGTAGTGAACAGCAATCCGCACCATGAAGGACCCATGCGGACTTGGGCGGGGCTCGAGTAGCTCGCGGAAACGCGGGAGTAGGGCAACACAGGAAGCGATATCCGGGGTTGCCCATACCAGGTCGACGACACGACATGTGCTACGACCCTCGGCGTGCGCCTCGGAGAGTGACTCGAGCAGTGCGAGCGCGTAGGTTATGCCGGATCCGCCGGCAAGAAGTAGTGCGCCAGAGAACGCTTGCGGTAACGCGTGTCCTGGTCCGGAGTACGGTCCTTCGAGGATCATCGTTGCTTGTACACATGAACCTGTGCATTGTTTCTCGGGATCGCTGTCCACGCCAGGGCAGGCTTTGGCCGCGCGCGTGAAGAGAGCCTGCGTCGACCGGCCTTCTTTCTTCACTATCAGCTCGAGTCCGTGTGATGATCCGGGGCGCGTCGATACAGTATACGGACGAGAACGCCACCGTGCAGCGAGCCATGCCCATGACAGAGCTAGCCAGCGCGGCCCACGGGCCGGAACGATACGCATACGGATGTGTTGGCCCGCGCGCCAGCCACTGATGATGGTGGGAGCGGAGACAATGGTCGATCCTCCGTTGAGTAGAGGTGCGGCGGTCAGCTGAACCGTCACGACGCGAGTACGCAATGCGCGCAGGATGTGGTCGAAGCCGTAGAGCACGAATGCGGTGACGAAGTAAGGGAGGGTGACAGGTTCGTGAATGTACATCTGTAAATAATATCAGCGTCATTGGCCGGGGCCAGTGTAGGCGGTGGGTGCACTTACAGCAACAAGAAATAGCCCAGAGAGGATCATATGCGAGACCAGGAAGAGCCCATATGCGCGCGAGCGAACATAAGCCGTCGATGATAGAAAGAGGACGTCGACCGCCGCTGTTCCAATTATACCCCATACCACGAAGGACGTGCGTGATTGTGCGTAGATGGTGCCATCCAGAGACCACCGGTACACTGCATACCAGTGAGTATAAGCCTGTGTGCCATGGCGAGATGCGAGCACTTACAGTAGTACGATGTATGAAGGTTGACACCAAGGACAACGATGCGACCAACGAAGCGGTGAAGGTAGTTCAGCTGTCAATGAGGTTAGACAGGATACAACCATCATATGCTCTGCACACGCACCTTCTCATATCCCAGACCCGACAGCACAGCCAACACATTATTCTTCTGCGTGAACGCCAACACGAATGGTAGTTGCGAAATCGCGACGTCCACCGGCCGACGCGGATCCGTGAACGGGCTGGTGCCCCGCACGCCAACGTAGAGCAGTATGCCGAAGTAGATGAGCAGCACAGCAAAGTGCTTGAATGGTAGCCCAGCCGCAACTGGATAGTTGGCGACATAAGAGAGCACCGGGTGCGTGAGAGCAAGGTAGCTCGGTACATGCGCAGGCGGATTGACGGCCTTGCTCGAGCCGGTATAGTTGTCGATGACGGCGTAGTTTAGCAGCGCAGCGTGCGACGCAGTCGTCGAAGACGTAGGCATAACTGCGGGTTCCGCCAACCCTGCATCGGCCGCGTCGAGACGCATTGTCCCTTCATCGTCCTCCGTCGCCCCGTCGTGCATCATCATCGCCTGCTCCGGCACCGGGGTCTTGGGCGCAGCGTGCCCCGCCGCCGGAATCGTCCTGGCCATCGCCACCACGCCGCTCCCAGAAGCCTTGCCGCGCCGGAGGTAGAATCCGGCGAAGAACTCGCCATGCGCAGTATATCGAGCTACTGCGCGGGGGATCGTCGAGAGGACAAAGATGCCGAATAGGACGCAGAGCAGGACGTCGATATGCCAGACGAAGGGTAGTGCGCCGAACCGAGCTGGACTGGGTACGATGACGGGTACCTGCGGCACGTCGTTGTACGTGCCGGGTAGAGGTACCACGACAAATGGATTAAGGCCGAAAGTATATTGCGACATGTGAAGGTTCGTCCAGGCGTGAAGTCAATAAGTATAACAAGGAAAGAAAAGCAGCTTGAAGAAGACAAAGAAGAGGATACAGTGACTAGCACTTAGAAAAGTAAAGGCAGACGGCACGACCGGCGTGCTTAAGAAGGGAAGAAGGAAAGACTGCTTGGCATGCCAGGGTATAAGTAAGGTGTGCGACATTCTGTCGTCGCGCAGGCTGTGTTCGGTCAAGGCCTTCAACAATCGCAATCGTGCGGTCGCGGCGGCCGGTGTTAGTAGGGCCGTTCAACTGTCGGCCTCAATTTCTCAAGCTTTCATGCAACTGGTCAAGCTTGACAAGAAAGCTCAATTCACAGGTGGAAAGGGAGGTCGGAGTGGAGCTGGGGAAGCGCCTCGCAGCTGTCCAAAGCGGAAGAGTACGTTGAAAAGAAGGCCGGACAATGCTGTATTGTTCCTGGGCTGTACGGCGACGACGCGATGGAAGTGCGGAGGGAAGCGCAGGGTCGCGCGCGCGAGCCTGCAACGCAGCTGATCCATCACTTCATCACAAAAACGGACAAAACGGTAAAAACGCCGCCGAATCCGCGCGCGCCTTTTGATCAATACTTCCCGAAACGGAAATGGGCTTCCTTTGTGGCGCGGCATTGAAGGGAGTTAGATGTACAACCGTATTCGAGATCGGGATACTTACAGCACAGCAAAAGCAAGATAGATGTACAAGGTTATGTGAGTCGTGTATGTGTACAACGCAAAGTTCAGCGTTCTGTTCGTCTCAGTGGCGTGCAGTCCCACGGTACCAGTCCACGACGTTCTTCCCCTGCTCGAAGAAGAAAAAGATGAGAACGGTCGTCGGTGTAAGACGGATCCAGGCGGGCGTCCAGCCTTTGAAGATGAACATGGCACCCTCATTGGCCATGGAGGTCCGGATGACAGCCAGCGTCGACTGTACAAGCTCATGAATATAGCACCACAACGATTGGTTGCGCAGTACGTACCGACGATCCCGGACCAGACGCGTTCATTATGCGGCTCTTCAGCACGTCTGCCGGAGAGCACACCGTAGTGGCTACCGTACCCGCCGCAAAGCTCGCAGTCGTATGGCAGAGAATGTTGTCGTCGAAGTATCCGGATCGGAGCATGGACGCCTTAAAGAAGTCATATGAAGCGAGTTGACTGGCGTTCATGAGGATGGCTCGGACGACGTTCGGTCCTGCTCCGCGGAAAAGCGACGACACGCCCTCTTCGCGGATCATCTGCGTATCGGTCTGTCAGACTGCTATCACCGTGTACATTGGAAGCAAAAGCACGCACACGATACAGCCCGACGACGGAGTTGCGGTAGTTATACCGCTTCTCTGGCGGCTTTGCCTTATCACCCTGCATCCGGACCTATAATCCACCTCAGTCACACATACATACACCCATAAGAGGCAGCTTTGATAGCGTACCATGAGGATCTCCCCCGGATTGCCCACAAGCCCCGCAATCCCACCCGCCATACTGCCCGCCGTAGCCAGCTTCCACATCGGCGCGTCCTTGCCCGTCGCGCCCACGATCTTCTTGCTCTCGTCGTACGCCCAGAAGCGGCAGACGGAGTAGGTCATCTGGCGTAGCCAGGTGCCCGTGAGCCCATCAAACAGCCCGCGCACGCCTGTGATCAAGGTGAGTGCGGGGAAAGAGTGACGTCAGATCTAGTGCAGACCTTCTGCGCGGACCGTCTTCCGGATCGAGTTCATCATGCCTTTGTCGCCCGACGCTTGCAAGCGTACTTTCGTGAGGTCGAGCGGACTGTACACGTCGCGTGATCAGCTCAAAGATCAGGGTGAGTGGGAGGGTGAGGGGGTGCATACTGTGTACATGACGCCGCGAACGTCGCCGCGACACCTGCGCGCGACCAACATGTTCAATCAAACACTGTGCATCACAATCGCACACGACAAACATACCTCCCAACCAGAACGGATACGGCTCCTTCTTCTTCAGCGGCTGCCCTCCGCCCACGGGTACAGGAGGCGCGGCGACCTCAGCCGGCGTCTTCGCTGGTTCGCTCATCTCTTCAAGTTCGGCTAGGGCGCGAAGTGCAGTCCGAGGGTGTGGGGTAGGGGTTTGTATCGTTCGTTCGTGTTTGTAACGAGAGGGGGCAGAACTATATACTCGCGCTCAGTCGTCTGACCTCCTTCGCGCGCCCACGCCCCGCGCCTCGATGTGTCCTGCGCTACCCCGTACAGGGCGCGCGGGGTCTCACAAGGTTCGAGCACTTGATTCAGGCGGAGCCCCTAGTCGATCCGTTAGTGCTCCGCTCTTGCCCGAGCTAATGCAGCCTATGAGGTACGAGTATGAGTATGACTGTTGATAATCGTCAGCTTGATCGTGCGTACGCGGTGCTGGATAGAGTATGTATAGATCGCGCATGAGAATGGAGGACAGGCTAGATCCATCGCGCGGGACATGTGAGCGGTTGTGGCAGAACTCGTGCACGCACGTATCGTCACCAGACCGACGCTTCTGTGTGATGTAAGCTGTTCAGCTGTATGTTCGGTCCCTTGTGTGCTTTACTCCCGACAAGGGAAGTATGCGATTCAGAGAACAAGAAGACCTGTCAATGTCCAGAGCGAGTGGAACCTGTACGGATCAGACGCGATCAGCGATGAGCCACCAATGCGATATAGTAGAAAGACACTCACTTCTTGACGAGCGATACGTAGCGTGTAGAGAATCGACATCCATATCAAGGTAAGGTAAAAGAAGGCGAAGCTCGAGGGCATTCATCGTGTCCACGCAACCGGGCCGTACCTCGAGCGCAGCATAACCCATACGTAGAGCTTCCAACAGCACCATGTATCACAAACGCCCATGTTCGTATAACAACAGTACAACAGCACGCGCAAGGTACAGCAAGGGTAGTACACGAAAAAGAAATCTTAGAGCTCGGTCCTCAAACCTCGCAACCGCACCACGCTCACTTCGCGCCTCCCCACGCAACCGTCTTCACAGGCGGCGCAGGCGTCGGCTTCTCCGACTCTGCGGGCGCAACGGGAGCCTGCGTGGCGGGCTTACTCGGGAGCGGCATGCCCTTCACACCGTCGAGTACGCGGGCGGCATGCTCGGTGTTGCGGATGAACCAGCCGGCGAAACGACGGCCGACGGTGCTCTCCGCGACGTGCACCATGTTCTAAAAAGACACTCATCAGCTTTGAAGGACAAGCGAGAGGGGGAGAAGGAACGAACCTCGTTGATGACAAAGTCCATATCGCTCGTAACGATCATCTGTCCGTTCAACAGACTGCTCCCTCCATCACCGCCTACGCGCGATATACACCGGCTAGCAGCCTTAACGGCCATCATCTGCTGCACCATCTCCTCCTCGTCCGCGTCCAAAATGTCCGCCAACTTCCCCGCGTCCAAGCTGGTGTATAGCTTCAAGAAAGACCGCATAGTCGGGACAGCAGCATGCGCGCGCACGTCCGCGAGGAACAGTGCGAGATGCCTCGGCGCGGGCTCTTGAGGCGAGTCCTCGACGTAGGCAGCCAGCGCGTCGGGGTCCTCATACGGCGGCGGGTTCGCCGCGATGAACTTCGGGCACGCGTACGTGAACAGCTCCTCAAACGCCGGCATCCCCTCCTCTCCCCTGCCCATCTTCCCCAGCTGCTCCCCGTACCTTTCCCTCACAACGCCCACAATATTATCGTCCAGCCTGCTCGTCGCGCTGCTGCTCGAGCTCAGCGCGCTGCAGATCGCGAACAGCGCGTACATCCTGTCCGCCGTCTTGTTGATCTGGTCGTACTGGTACGAGCGCGTGTGGTACTGCCGCATGCGGAGTATGAAGTTGAGCACGGAGACGAAGGTGCGGATGGCGTCGGGGTAGCGGCGGAGCATGAGGTAGCAGAAGCCGACGTAGTAGTATGTCGCGACGGTGCAGGCCGTGACGCGCGTGAAGGGGTTTTTTTGGGAGAGCTCGACGCCGTCCATGACTTTGAGGGCGAGGGTGAAGTCGCCGAGGAGGACGTGGACGCGGAGGAGGCCGATGATGGAGAAGTAGCCGAGGAGACGGTAGAGCGGTTTGGCGCCGTACTCGCCTACGATCTCGCTGCACTCTCGTCAGTGGATATTAGAGTGGATGAGAGGAAGGAAGACGCACGCGATCTCGTCCTCGGACTTGCCGGCCTGCTGAGCGGCAATATAATCGTTGATCCTCGACTTTTGGATCAAGGAATAAAGCACGTTCAGCACCGAATACGCGCTCCAGACCTGCAAGCCGCTCTCCTGGCTCGCATCGCTCAAGATCATCAGCTCCTCGTCGTTCTTGCTCTTGACTTTACTTCTCCACACGCAAAAGCTCTGGAACTGGTATATAAACTCGTCGACGATGTCCCAAAGCCACTGTTCGGGGAGCTCGAGCGGCACGGGGCCGTCTGAGTTGAGGAGGTAGTTGAAGAGCTCGCACGAGTTTTCGTACGAGTGGAAGCGGTCGTCGATGTCCGGCTGGATGCGCGAGTAGATGTGGCGGTAGTACAATTCCCTATATAGAATTAAAAATAAGGGGTCGTTGTTGACCAGTGGGGCGATGAGATCGGCGTCGGGCCATTCCGTCTTTGCGTAGAACTTTTCGGTCAGCCGGTTCCAGCCAGACTCGTACGCGACCGTGATCTCCGCAAGGTTGTTCTTCAGCACCGCTTGGTGGAAGTGCACGATGAACTATTGAATAATTGTAGTATATATGGATATAGAGAAGAGATGGACGCACGCGTTTGACAGGATCGGGGATCGCCGCGAATGCCTCTGCGTTGGCCAGCAGCTTTTGTTGTTCCATCGCAAGTATCTGGCTGGCTAGCCTGGCCTGCGATGCTGCTGAGAACGTCAGTATTTCTTGAGAGTATCCAAATTGACATATCAACGCACCCTCGTCGTACATCTCGCCCTGGCCATAGCTCCCGAGGCCGATGTTAACATCGACGTCCTGCAACTCCTCGTCCATATCCTCGGCCGCCCAGAGCGGCATCCGTGCTTGCGCCATTTTCAATGAGATAGTCTAGATGAAGTAGTCCCAGACAGATATAGTACAAGTGGTCTATGATTTAGACCTTTTGGCGGCGGAGAGGACTATGGTGGATCGAAGCGCGAGCACGTCCTGTAAAAGTTGACGATCGACGCCGGGCCGGAGAATGCCGAGCGCTGGTCGCGTCGCGTCGCGTCACTCGATAGACGCGCGCCTGATGCAACTCTACTCGAAGCTTTCATTAGACCATACTTCCTTTGTCTCTGTTCGCTAGCGTTATATTAGGTTGGGCCTTGTGGCCGTGGCATGCGCCGTCTCTCACGGGTCTCTCCCTTCAATTGTATATATAGAGCAGCCGCAAGAAGGCCTGCTAGGTTCTGGATCGTGATGCCCGCGCCTCAGGTCGAGGAGACGTCCCATCCGTGGCTCAACTACGACTCGCATCTACTCTCACAGGCACGTACCTTATCAATATAGATATTACACACCCTGACACGATATGCAGGCACTATATAATGACAACTCTGCCAAGCGACACAGCCTGGCCGTACGCATCCGCCAGGCTCTCGGGCTAGACAGCGCAGAGGGATTCGACCTGGTGGACGTTGGGATGCGCAACTACGCGTATGACACGCCCCATGCGCCGGTCGAGTTTGCCATCGTCGTAAGTGCTCTCCATCAATTGTGCGCGTTGCAAACTGATATAACGTGCAGGACAGGCAATTCCCTCACGGTCTCCAACCGCATCAGGTCGAGCGCACGAGATATGATCTATATGATGCGGGGTACGTCTATTTCAAAGAGCTAAAGCCCACATTTGCTGACGCTGAACATAGACGCGTCGCTGAACTGCTGTCTGCCGCCGGCTTCGACGGCGTCTTTGTCAACCCAAACGAGAAGCGCACGAGCGCTAAAGGCCGCGGCCTGCTTCTCCCGCCGGTTGAGAACGACGGAACCGCTCCCTGGCCAGATCACCTTCAAGACCATCTCCCGCCCGGCTTTGTCCTGCCCGCTCTCCTCGAAGCCCGTTCGCCCGAGGCGTTCACGCTCTCGCTGCCATCGCCCCTCCACGAGCATACGGTTTTGCTGATACGTGCCTATGGCCGCTGTCTGGCTGCGTTTCCCGAGCTTGTCACGCAAGCATACGCCTGGTTTCGCTCATGGGGCGCCTCCGACTTCTCGCCCTTGGCTGTTGCACTACTACTCGTCACATACATGCAGGTCAGTCCCCTACCTGAACTCAGTCTAACCTCTATCACGAACTAACAAGTACCTACTCAGCGCAGCCCTGAGATCAGAGCGCCCGATCTGCAGAATATACCCTCGACAATGATCGAGTCTGTCGAGCATACAGTGTGGATGCCTTACCGCCCCGCGCCAAACGGCTCAACGGTCCAGCTACCTTTGACGGTCCGATACGCGCCTTCGCTCCCTCTGAAGCCTACAGAAGGGTCGGGCGTCTTGTTTGCTGGGTTCATCAAGTATGCGTTCTCCGTTCCTCGCCAGTTTCTTCAGACTGACGAAGTGTAGATGGTTGAAGAACATGAAAAGCCCTTACCACGGCTCTGTCGGTAGATCGACCACAAGATCCAAACACGTCCTCCTCCGCCCCGTCCGCGCCATCGTCGAAAGTAAAGGATGGGGCAGATACGCTCCAGCGATTCTCAATGCCAAGCCGAGCACGACCGAACCGTGGAGTTGGCAGCCGTTAGTTGTGGCCGATGCGTTCGTGCCGACGTTCGTGAGTACATGTACGATGAGGTGACGAGACTTGCGGTGCTCATGAGACTTGCAGAATAGGGCGTATGAGGTGTCGAAAGAGCTTATGGAGAGTCTACTCGATCTTGCGGAAGGAGTGAACGCTACGCTTTCCTGGGGCGCACCGCTCGCTTCTGCCTTCGGGCCGGCGCTCGACGTTTCCTTGTATCGCGGTATACTTGCGGACTTGGACAATGGACAAGATGCTTCTGCAGACGCACCAAGAGCATTGACACAAGCTTACTCTCCCCGACACACCAACCCCACACAACCCAACATTACTTCCACAAGTTGCGGCTTCCGGATGTCAGGCAGACGATTCTACTCCACCGCCCACTCCCGCAACGCCGAACTTCGCGATCTCATCGACTTTCACGCTCTCGTGCGATTCTCTCCCACATCACCCGTACATAAAGACTTACCAACGCACTGAGTAGAAGACCCGACCGCCACTTAAACTTGTGCAAGATCGGGCTGAGCTCGTCCTTCGGATCGAAGGAGCCATCCAGAGAGCGTATGGAAGGCGCTATACCGTCGAGGTGTTTGGGAGCTCGAGGTATGGGATGGATAAAGGGGATAGTGATCTGGATCTTGTCATCTGCGTGCGTATTCGTCCTGGGCACGGGCGCTCGCGGATGGTTTGAGCTGATGGGAATGTTGATAGGATTCGAAGTTACCGACTGGATTCCCGCCTACCCTCGATGCGTCCAAACGGTTGCCCCGTACGTTTCACGCGTCTTTCGAATTGTGATCATGGGACTGATGTTTATTCTAGCTGTGTACAACCCTTGGTACGTCTCAACGTTACCTGACGCTGTATGCGCGCATTAAGTCCCACGTAGGAACATCGCGAAAGCGATCACTACAGCGCAGATCGGCGTGCGAATCGACCTAGTCATTCGGGGCGCTGCCGTGCCCATCGGTACGTCCTCCCTCCCCCTGCCACCTCCTTCCCTCACTAAGTCACCCACTCCACCCACAGTCAAAGTAACGGACCGCAAAACCCACATCCGCTGCGACATCTGCTGCAACGACCGGCTCGGCCTCCGCAACACCGAGCTCCTCGCGCACTACACCTCCATTCTTCCCTCCCTCCGCGTCGTAGTTAAGGCGCTCAAGCGATGGGCGAAGCCTCTGGGCTTGAACGAGCCGAGCCCGCCGGCGGGGATGG